TCTCTCTGTAATGAATAAATAAAATCTTAAAAAAAAAAAAAAAAAAAAAAAGAATGAAGTGGGCAAATCAGTGGTGACGTTGCCCAGCCCAAGCCCCCTCAGGAAAGGGGGGCCAGAGAAGGAGCCCCTCTAGGCCATAATGCCACCTCCTCGCGTCTAGTTTTTGCACAGTCACGTTGTTAGGCTCTGCTTTGCCCTCACTAATATATTCCTACATGGATTTTCCTCTTTGCTGGCACCAGACACCCTATTTTTTTTCTTTTTCTCTCAATCTCTTTATCTGCCCCCCACCCCCACCCCCAGTGCAAAGGCTTGGATCTCCTCCTCCCGTGAGACATTCTTGTTCTGCTTCCTATTTACTTCTTGGCACTTCAGCAAGCCCTAGCCAAAAAATGCTATTCCTATGCCCTCTTCCCTTCCTCCCTGCCCTTCCCTCCCTCCACCCCACACCCAGGTTCTGTTTCACCAGAAAGGCTCAGGCCCTGTGCCTGCTACGGGGTTCACGACCACGTCGGTCAGTTCTCTTCTCATTGTTCATGCCTATCCAAACCTACCCGAAGCTCAAGTTCACTGAGATTGGAGGCAAACAGTTTCCTTCTGCAGGCATCCCAAATGTGGGGATGCTGTTGCCTGTACCTCTCACATTAACACCTAATTTTTTTTTAAAAGAACACTGAATAGCTACTTTCCCCTATTTTATAAAGGTCCAATAAATTGCTTCTCAACCCAATTTAGTGTATACAAATTCCATGAACTCTAGGGAAGTGGGAAAATGTGGGCATAACACCGTCTACCCTAGCAACCAGTTTACTTGATGCCAAATACATACGCTCTACCATGTCTGTAGATGTGTTAAAGAGAATCTGTGGGCCACTGTGGAGTTGAATGCAGCTGTGTCGAGCGCTCTTAAAAATGAACTTTTTGCAGTATTCTTGGACCAAGTATGAAACAATAAAGCTTTGAATGAGCACATAACAATTCCTTTACCTAAAGTTAGTTCTCCCCAGTCTATTTTGGAAAGTTGTGCACTTGAAGAGGTGCTTTCTCCCACTCATCAAGAATAATTGGCTCTCAGTGCTTACATTGGGATGTGGCTTCCACTTAGCGTGAATGGAAGAGTGCGTGACAGGGTTGGGCGTGGGGAGGTGCTGTTACAAAGCCCCTTGTGCTCACAGAGAAGGCATTCCAAAACCAAGCTTGCCAGATGAAATGGTTGTACCCTCATGTCAAGGCTGGACTTTTGAAATTAGAGTTTTAGTTATTATGGTGACAGATTCCCTGGGCTTCCAGCCACAGCATGAATGAAGACTCCTTTGGTTGGCTAAGGCATGGCTCAGAGCCAAACATGAATTCTAGGGTACCCGCTCCCATCCTCAATAGGTCATTCTGAGTGTCGCCAATGTATTTATCAGAAGAGGAAACAGGCTCATTAAGGTGTTGCTCATTTTACTAGTCTCGATGTACACCATACGTGCTAAAGGGCGAATCATTATTCAGAAATACCATGTATCAGGGTAGTACCAAGATTCTACTGCAACACTGAACTTTCCCTGTCTCCCCTCCCCACCACACCTATCCCTTTCTCAGTAAACTTCCTAATCCTTGAGGCAGCTGGTATTCAGAGTGGCTCGAGGGTGCTTACTCAGCTCAAAAAAAAAAAAAAAAAAAAAATGTAAGGCCACCTGGGTGGCTCAGGTTAAGCATCTGACTTAGGCTCAGATCATGATCTCAGGATCCTGGGATCCAGCCTTGTGGCGGGTTCCTGGCTCAGCACAGAGTCTGCTTCTCTCTCTGCCTCTACCCCTCCCCATCCCTTGCTGGTGCTCCCCCCCGCTTAAATAAATAAATAAGATCTTTAAAAAATTTTAAAAACATATCTGATAGTGCATCTCAGCTGTGGTTAAGTTTGAAAGCAAGGTATAAGGGCCATCCAGGCAGAGGCTGAATTCTCTGGAGCCTATTTTTCTACCCCAAGCCTAGATAGTGTCAACATGAGGTTTTATTCTAGACCTGTCCCATCTAGCACATGCCTTTTTCCTGAGAAAGTTATTTGGTAGGATCAAAATTTCTCATTGTTTTGGTCCACCAGTATGTATCTCCACAGCTTCTGGGTTTCCCAAGCACCCAGGGGGACACCCATCTGAGAATCAAGTTGCCTCGGAAGTGTAACCAAAGGGATATTGCAGGAGCTGGTTAGGGAAGTGAAAAATACCTAAAAATAAAAACTAAATGTATTTTCCTTCCCCTTCTCCCCCTGCCATCCTACAGTCCTGAGTATCGCTTGGGTTTTTGCCTCATAGAAAACAGAATTAACAAAACGTGACTTTTTTTTTTTCCCCTTCTTTTCTGCCCTAGTATTACTAGAACTTTTGCATCGGGGAAAACAGAAAAGGTGATCTTTCAAGCACTCAAGGAGTTAGGTCTTCCCAGTGGAAAGGTATTTATTCATTTAATCATGTGTTTCTAAAACGATTTTGTCTATTTATGTTCTCATATGAAATAAGCCAGCTTATTTATGTTCAACTGATGTCATTTAGATTCAAAACTGGTTACAGTCACATCAAGTACAAGTAACTTTCCCTTCTGCCCGCCTGCCTGCCTTTTGTTTTCTGGGCATTTTAAACTAAATGTTTTCAAATTCAAATAGTGTACTTCAAAATGTTTTTATCAACTTTATTAAGAAAAGGAAATGACAGCCAGTCTGCTCTTTTACACAGCTTGTAGAAAGCTTATTTTATTTTATTTTTTGAGAGAGAGAGTGGGGAGGGGGTTGGCACGCAGAGGGGGAGAGAGAGTATCTCAAGCAGGCTCCACGCCCAGTGCAAAGCCAGACGCCGGACTCCATCCCAAGACCCTGAGGTCATGATCCGTGCCCAAGTCAAGAGTCGGGTGCCCAGGGCACCTGGGTGGCTAAGATGGTTAAGCACCTGCCTTCGGCTCAGGTCATGATCTCCAGGTCCTGGGGTCGAGCCCCATGTTGGGCTCCCAGCTCAGCAGGGAGTCTGCTTCTCCCTCACCCTCTGCCTCTCCCCCTGCTTGTGTGCATGCTCTCTCTCTCTGTAATGAATAAATAAAATCTTAAAAAAAAAAAGAGTCGGATGCCCAACTGACTGAGCCACCCACGCGCCCCCAGAAGGCTTATTAGAGAAGCCCATCTGCATTGCCTTGACCAAGCACAATGTCAGCCTGAATAATTGACTAATAAATCCAGTTCTTCAAGATGGCTGTGGAGTATTTTATAAAGCATCCCTCCCTTACAAACCATTTGTATTCCTGGCCCTTTGGATTTAGAATAATTGAAACTAATTTATTGACTGCAAGAAAGATTTTAACCTGTTACTACTTTAACAAATCCAATTTGAAATACAAACTTCAGGATGAAAAGTAAAATTTTATATGGTTGTCCTGAGCCCCTTCATGTGGTCTTGTGAAAATTCACAAGATAAACATAAGTAAACACTTGGTTTGATTTTTTCAGCATCCTTTAGGCAGGCACTTGCTTTTCTCCATCAAGGAGAGAAAGAGGAAATGTTTCTTTATATTTGTTTTATGGGGTGTTTCCCAGAGCGAGCCCAGCTGTAGTCAGTGTTTGAACACACAAGTTATGGCTGCCCATGGTAACCAGAAACACCCATTTACACCTGCCGGGTGCTGGCGGGACGGCCTGACCACAGCTGGGATTGGCCGTCTGGCTTCTCTCAGTAAGAATCAGAGATTGAGGCCCTGGGAATCCAAGGTGGTCATTGCTTTACTTCATGATCCTGTAGATAGATTCTTCCCCTCCAAGGAGAAAGATGTTGCATGAGTTATGACACTCTTTTGTTCTTTACAGAATGATGAAATTGAGCCTGCGGCATTTACTTATGAAAAGTTCTATGAACTGACACAAAAGATTTGTCCTCGGACAGATATAGAGGATCTTTTTAAAAAAATGTAAGTTCTACTTATGAGAAAATGTCACATTCTTGTCCCTTTAGATTTTTAAAACATTTTTTGTGGTAATGTTCTAATACAGTATGTTGAGAGTCTCTAGGATTATGTAGCTAGGGTTACATTTTCACCCCTTAGTTTATCACTGTAAAAGTTCACTCTGAGTTTTTGAGAAACTTTTACAAAAATTAATGGCAGCACCTGGAACGATTTTTTTCCCCCCTTGCATTGGCTTTACTAACTACCTACAATTTTAACCTGCTCCTTTAGGTATTAACCCATTATGTGAACTAACTAGATTCGATTTGGAATGTTATTATGTTGTTGAAAAGTTCATTCATTCTAGTTATTTCAAATGGATGACTTACATGTTGTTTTTAAAATAACGGTTTTCAATAATGCTAAACAGAAGAATTGCAGACATTTTCTGTGAGCTAGTGGGAGTGTTTTCTTTCTCTTGTTGTTGGGTTGTTGCTTTTTTTCTTTTTCTTTTTCTTCTTTTTTTTTTTTTTTTTGTTCTTACAACCAGTCTCTGGCCATTTTAAGAATGCACCACTACTTCAGGGTTAGAAATAAGTTTAGAATTATCATCAACAAATGTCAACATGTAAATCGTACCTACTGTAGCATCATATACAAAAACTTACTTTTTCTAATAAATTTCTTTTCAGCAATGGAGACAAAACTGATTATTTAACGGTAGACCAATTAGTGAGCTTTCTAAATGAAGTAAGCTTTTTCATACATTAACTCCATAAAGTCTGTGTGCAGTGGCTTGCCTCCTCCAGTGTCCCCATTGCATGCCCGCATCATACGCCCTATTCGCTTTGCTTCTGACCTGCTGATCTTTCCATATGGCTTTCTTTACCAGGTGCAAAAATCAGCTGCTGCTTCTGGGTGTTCATGCACTTCCTACACGTTGGCTTTGCACACTGCTTTTTTTTGTTGGTTTTCTTGCTGTGATGTATAGCTCTGGTTCTGTGTGTGCGTGTGAATTTTATAATATATTCATTTAATTAAATGTGTCTATGTTTTTGCAAGATGATATTTAAGGTACTTTTTTTTTTCTCCTGTTGATCTCATTAAATAGAGAATGGACTGAAATTACTACACTGTAGTTGGATTCTCCATTGCTAACTTTTTCTCATACCTTTGCATGGACTGGAAAGCTTTATTTTTGTCTTTTAATGGATTGCATGTAAGAACGATATGTAGGTTCCAAGAGATTATTTTGACAACGAGCACAACAGTGGAGTTCCTGGGTGAAAATATAGTACATATTAGGCCAATTAGATTGCAGGTCAAATTTTTAGATTTTATTTTTATAACAAGCTTAGGGCTCATTTTAGAATATGATTCACTCAACAACCAACACTGGTTGACAACATTTGCTGAAGCACAAGCAAAAAATATTTTGAAACACATAAAGGTTGCAACTTTTGTTACAACTAAAATTAACTTTTTTTTTCTTTGTATGTACAAAAGAATGTTCTGTTCAGTGAAACCCATTGAAGCTCTTGCTCATCCAAAATGGAAAATGTACTTTTTTTTTCCTAGCACATTAATGGAATGGACAATATATTTTTGTTTCAAAACAATTTTTTAATATAATTTAACCATTATACCATATAAAGAGAAAATATTTGAAGAGAGAGTATCATGCCAGACATGAAGTATTGACCCAAAGAACAGGCAACAGGCAGACTGTGATTTGCCAGTTTGTGGAGACAAATCACATCTTTGCCAAAGGGCTTCTGCCCTGTTAGGGCTCAGTGGCTCCCAGCTGGTAGGGTTGCCCCGACAGAACTATGATAACCAGAGCCTAAAAGCCCTTGTGCCAGGAAGAATAGCTACTCCATTTATCAGCACAGTTGCCTCCACTTTTAATAAGCCTTTCAGTGCAATGCAATATTTATTTTACTTGAAAACATTGCAAGTTTTTCCACCCCACTAGTTTTTGGTCATGCGAATACTATGTTTAGAATCTTTACCCAGATATTATCCACATTCCTTTGCCACGTTACTCAGAAGTTAAGTTGCCTTGCTTTGTTTCCTTTAACTCCTTCCCCTTCTTCTGCTTTATTTTTAAGATTTATTGTTTTATTTCCTTCAGCTTCTTCATGCACTTTGGGTCACTCCCAGTCATCTTAAGTTTTGGTGAGATGGGCAGGAAAGTCTTGCTTTTGGCTAAAGAGGGAAGACCGTTGGGAGGCACGGAGAAAAGCTCTATCATTGGTTTGCTACTTCCTAGAAACAAGGTCTCTTGCGCATTCTGAGATGAAGCTGGCATCCAGGCATCTATGAAATATGACAGACACCTTACTATGTGTGTCACCGTGACAATAAAGAAACAATTCTGAAGTCTTGAGGATAGTGCGGTATTCATGGGCTCTTTATCTCACGCCTTTCCTCGTATGGGTTGTTTTTGTAAGCCTACCCAGTCATCGCTTGTCATTTTTATAAGTCTAAGACATAACATTTAATTTTTAAAAGATACGATCACCCATGCTTTCTGGCTCTGCCATCCAAATTCTTTCTTCAAATACTTATTATTTGATAAGCTTTTATATATCACTATCACGGTGGCCAATAGCACTCATTTGTTTTTATATTTTCTTCTGCGTGGCTTCTCATTCATGATAAGGAAGCATCTTTACTTTTGGGGTGGGACACATGGACTCCGTGTGATTCTTGATTTCTTTAGATCATAGAGACTACAAGATGGTCCAGGAAAGTGTACAGCCTTTGTTTTTAATCAAAGTGCCCAAATCTCGTCCTTTTCTCTCCTAGCAAACTGAACTGGAAAAACTAGATAGCAATCTGAATGTATCCTTGAAGAAATCTGTCAAACTTAGAAAACATTCTGCCAGCTCTTTGTAACCTTCTTTTGAGTCCTATAGTGGCTCTTCTCCTCTCTCCAAAATCAGAAGCACCCTGTAGGCAGAACACCTTCAAAACCCATAATGAAAGGAGATAGCATTCACTCGAGAAGAATGCAGGCATTGCAGTGTAAGAGTCTATGGCTCCAAAAGCTTAGATATAAACATTTTCAAAATGCCTTAGCTACATAGTGTCAACAAGCCAAAATTCAACACTGTGTTAGAAGCCCCAGATTATGTGATAAGATAGGAAAAATAAAGAGTCTCATGAATACAAAAGGACAGAGTCCTACTCATCGTTTGAAGATGATGATTGAGTACCCTATCAAAAATTATCAACTGAAAAACTCTTTGAATGAGAGTTCAGCAAAATAACCAGAGAAATGATTGACAAAGCAAAAAATCAATAGATGCATGTATACCAGCATTAACCAATTAGAACAAGTAATAGGGAAAAAAAGTCATGCTGCCTCCCACAACTTTCCAGCTTGTAAATCCTTTTATTCTTTAGATGAAATTTTATGTTCAGTGTACTCATGTCTATCTCCAGGAAGCTGGAATGAGAGGAGAGACTACTGGCCATTTACTATCTTGGTCACCGTAGAGGGGTTTGTCCCACCTCCTCCCTATCCATGTCATCAACACTTTCTAGCTTTTCACTAGTAGCTTTAGACCTGCTTCTCATCTGCTTCTCAGTCTCTCCTCAAAGCGTGATCCATGGACCATCAGCAGCAGCATCCTGTGGGAGCTTGTTAGAATTACAGAATCTTGGGTCCCACCCCAGACCTACTGACTTGAAATCTGCATTTAACAACATCTGCAGGTGATTGGTCTGCACATTAAAGTTTGTGAAGCACTGTCCTAGTGGATTACCTGGATTCCTCCTTGGAATGCTTAGTATGGACGGGAAGAATGTGAGAGTATCATATATCTTCTGTTATTCTCCATGATGGATTTAGTCATAGAAATCCACCACTCAGATCCTAAAATTTTGCCACAGCTATGCTTCTTGCTCCCATCAGTGAACCAATAGAAACTTCTCTTCTTCCTGCTTTCTGAAAATAATAAACCAGAGTCTGGGAGAGCCAGTAAAGGTGCTCACTGTGAGTTGCCATGCGGTTAGATACTGCTTCCAACTCTGTTCTCTATCTGTGGTGGGGCTAATTAATGTCCCTGGGCTTTAGTTAATTTCACCTATCTTTCCGCATTTCCAATGAGAAGCCAAATTGATTTCAGTTTTACCTTTATTCTCTCACAAAGATGATAACTGAGGGGGAGGGCCTACAGAATCAGGAGATGCATGGAGGGCTGGAGAGAGAGATCAAGATGAGAAAAAGAGGGAAAAGGTCTTAGATGACCACAATTTTCCAGAATTAGCTTTATTTTCTTGTTGCCAGTGATCTCTCCTCCTGCTTCACACACATTATATGATCACGTTAGGGCTAGACATGTTTATTTATTTTATTTTGCAGTTGTGTAGGAAAGGGCCTGTGATCACTTTCCATTTATAGTATCTTTATTGTTTAATACATAGACACAGAAAGAGAAGGAGGTGTTTAGTCTTACGGGTAAGCCTACTCTTGCAAATTATTCCTTTATCTTCTTTATATTTCTTCTGAATATTTTCTGTCAACATCTATCTCTCTCAGTGCTGCTTGGGTTAAAGCCGGTTGCTACCTTTTCTCAGTAAGAGTTAGGACATAATAATGGAGCAATGACCACTCTCTCCTCATGCACGTGGGCACGGTTCTGTGACCTATTTTCGGAAGCTGGTTAGATCTCACTTTACAAAGCTCTGGACGTCCAGAGGTGATTGTCGTAGGCACATTGCTTCCCCAAATCCCCACGGAAAACCAGCGATCCCTCAGAGTTCTGAAACGTTTGCCCCGCTGTGCTTACATCTGTGTGGGATTCTTCTGCAACCTTATTACTCTGAGGTCACCTGGAAGTGATCTTTTTCCTCTTTGTTGTTTCATATAAAAATTACAGTTTTGTGACTCTGATGCAAATCTTATCATCTGCTTCCTTGCCTTCGGACTATCCAGAGTGCACCATGCTTCCTTTTTGAAACATGAAAGTTTTAGTGAAGCAAAGATTATGTTATCTGGTGGAGTGATGCAAAGGCAAATGCAGTTTCATACTGTCTACTTTTAATGCTTATTTGCTGTAAATGTACAGTTAGGGGATTATGATGCATTCATTTTAGGGCTTGGTTTCTCGGCTTTTGCTTCTGATAGGCAGGATGTTCTAGTGACTGTCGTGCCCTGGGACTGAATTTTAATGGGCTTTAATTTAGGAGGACATCTCAAACATTTAGCATTCTGTCCTTGCAGGGCTTAGGTTTTTAGGTTGATTTGTTTTTTATATAACTGATAATACAAGGATGTTAAAAGGCATACTTTTACATGTTAGAGCAGTGTTGCTTAAACTTGAGTCACCTGGAAAGCTTTTCAAAACATAGATTCATGGGTTCCTCCCCAGAGAATCAGATCTGCTAGGTCTTTGATGGGGCCTGAGAATCTGCATTTTAACTCCCAGGTGTGGGAGATGCCATGCTGCCATCAACAGATCACATTATAAGTCACACCAGGCTCACATGCATAGGTATGCATATAAAGAGCACATAGGAGCGTCTGGGTTCCCCCTCCTTTACCTAATTTAATCTCTTCTCTCCCCTGCAGCTTAATCTCTTCTTTTTCTCACTTTTTTAATTCATATGGATTTGCCCCATCATCTCCATGAGCCCAGAATTCTTACCAATGAGCATATCTTTAAATCAAAAAGCCTACTTTTAATAAGGAAGTGAAATATAGTGGCCAACTGTGAAAATAACTGCAATGGGGTCTAAAAAGGACCTTTTCCTCTCATATCCATCTTCTTCCGTGATAGTATTTTATGGAGACGGAGGAGGAAATGTGACTAGAGAGAGTTTTCTGTTCGTTTATTTGTTTGTTTTTAAAATGATGCCTTCTCACCAGAGGGGTGGTGCTTGTCATGCCCTTGAATAGCGGTCTCTAGAGTTGCATGATGCCCATCCATTTCATAAATAAGATTGTAGCATGCCTTCATGTGCCTGGCCTTCCATGGTCCACCTCACAGTTTCTCTCTGCGTACCCCATGAGTTTTGTTTTTTATGGTTTCAAGGCTTGTTGTTAATATAACAGTTTCTGCTCTTGCACATGCATGGACGTGAGCTGTTGTGAGCTGTAATTTCTTAGATTACAACAGAAGCATGCTTCATTGGGATAAACTGACCAAAAGATACTGATTCCTTATGAGTTAACACTCTTACCTGGGCAAAGAGGTGGGAGGACCAGAATAGGCTAGGCCACAAGTGCTTGAGGAAATTACATTGTGCGTGTTGCGTTGGCCAAAGGCATTCATTCTGTGTTACCCACTTTTCAAACTTCCATCTCAGAACAAATGGGGAAGGGAAATCCATATGAACCTTTAACAATTGTTTCTCAAACAACTTCTCAGTGCTGTTTTTCAATGTCTGTGCATATATTTGGGTAAAGAGTTGTCGCCAAGGTTCTACCCATTGACCAGGTTTTGCTCACATCTGCTTCTCTGCCATGATTTCCATAGAAGTTATAGATTTGATGAATGACCAGGGTCCAATTCACGGTGAACATTAAGGAAGTTTCATGGACCCACTGCCTCCATATATAGACACACAGACACACACACATGCAGAGACATGCACAACATACACACATACAGAAAATTGTAGCTGAGTCAGTAAATTGGAGTTTTTTCACCACTGCTGTGAAGTTTGGGTGACAGAACTGCAGAAATAGCATTGTTCCTGGTGCCTCCTGTAGTACCATGAGCATCCAGGTGCTGATTTTTAAAGACTGACATCACCAGCTTCCTAAGTGCCTTAATCATTCATGGACTCCCCTTGCCCAGAGAATTTCCTCAGGGCAAACCCAGTTCTAGTTCATAGTGAAAAAGACTTTCTGAACTACTGATAATTCAAATACAGATTTTCATATTGTCAATAATTGATACATATCCTTGTGCCGATTAATTGTCATCATTATTATGACTGATTTGATAAATATTTACTCAAGAAAATGAAGTTTGCAGACTGCCCAAGAAATCTTTTCTTTATGTAAAAAAAAATATAACGAAAATGAAACGATGTTTGCCTGTTTTAACCTTAGGGATTTTTGTTGTTGTTGTTGTTACTATTGTTTTTCTTTTTCGGCACCTAAGTTAGTATATTAACTATTTGAGTTATTTGGGTTTTTTGGAGGGTTTTTTTAGTTTTTGCTTTTGTTTCTCCTTTTTTTTTTCCCCAAAGATTTTTGACCTCACTTTTTATAGATATTTATGCCAAATCTCTCACCTGGGGTATGGGGACTAGAAGACAGTACAATTGACATGCACATCATTTTATGTATCCTTTAGCTTTTGAGGGAAAATATATGTCTGTGTATATATATATATATATATATATATATATTCTGTATTCTCTTTCTAGTTCAGTGAGGGAAACCAAAGCATTCCCAAAGTTGGACTTTTTTGAAGTATATTTTAGGGAGAAAGACAGTAGGACAGTGAAATCCTATCTTTGTAACTGTAAATGTGATATTCTCAATATATCTTATTTTAGAAATTATGTACTTTAGTGATGTGTAATGCCCCAAGGGTGAGAAATGTCAACCTAAATGGGGTTATTTTCTCATCATAGCATCAGCGAGACCCTCGACTGAATGAAATTTTATTCCCATTTTATGATGCTAAAAGGGCGATGCAGATCATCGAGATGTATGAGCCTGATGAAGATTTGAAGAAAAAAGGTAATAAAAGTGAAAAAAGATAATTTTCTTTATTAAAGAAAAAGCAAGACTATATGCAACTTTAAACATTCTTGGATTTTTAGTTAAAGACATCTTTAAATGCTTTGGAGCTCCCTAGAGCCAAGGATTTTTAATGGACTGATTTTTTTTTTCCCTGTTCTAAGTTAGTATAAATTTTACCTTACATCAGAATTTGCGCATGCTGCCTGAGGTATAATGTAAATTTACTACATTATTAAACACATGGTAGTGATATTTTCCCCATTGTCCTCTCTTACATTCGATCTTTAGTATTGCCTAATGCTCAAACTGCAAAAATGCCCATACAGTGTCTGTTTGCAATCTTGGAAGGAATTTCACATCTTATAAAAGTTTATACCTTCTTTTTCTCCCTTTTGTTTTGCCAAGCCATGTAAATTTTAATACATGATTTGATGAGCCTTCCTATCATTAGACCTCTGTTATGGAATACAAATGCAACTGATAGGAAATTAAATGCTCAAGAATCAATTTAGCAAATTATTGGGGTTTCTGAACATTTGCCTCTTTCAATGAAACATTGGAAACAGTGTGCTGTCCATTCCAATATTTGACAAAGAAAAGGCATGGAGAGGGAACTGAAGATCAGTCTTATAGCAGTGGGAGGCTCCTGCAAAGGATGGGAGAGGTGATGCTACCATAATTGGACAGGAAGTCCTGAGAAAAGAGCTACCTGAGCTCCAGCCTCAGCCTTGTGTCCCAGTAGAGAGTTGAAGGGAGATTCAGGTCCAAGTTCTATCTCTCCAATGTGCCCCTGGGCATTAGGGCCTCCGGTTTCTGAGTTCTTTTTGCTTTGTATCTCAGTGAATGTGACTGAAAGGTTTATATAATCTCTGGACCCACATAGAACCCGTGTATATGCATGCTGGCCCACCACAACACATGACCCACCCCTGATATTTTTCCAAGTCAAAAAGACATACACTTACACTTCCTGCTAGGGCCCCAAATACCTCCTTTCAGCAAGAGTGCTTCCTTATTTACCTTTCTACCAACACTCTGAGTATTACTATTTATTCTCCATTGCATGGGATTAAAGTGAAGGGAAGGGTGGCTTGATAGATAATATAGCACTATTTTGATTGGATTCTTGTTGCTCCCCTGTCACTGTGTGACCTTGAGCAAGGGGCTCTATTCCTGGGCTTCGGTTTCCCTGCTTGTAACCTGGTGGAGCCCTTACAGTCATTCAACTAGTATTTCGCTCCCCTACTTTCATTTCTTAAAGTTTATAGAGGGCTGACTGGGTGCCAAGCACTGTGCCAGATGTTGGGGATTCAAAAGCAAGTAAGGCAGTTGTGATCTGTTGAAGGACAAGGCTCAGCAGTTCCTTGGCAGTATGATAAATGTTAGGATAGAGGTGTCTCTCTCATTATTTCCAAAGTCCTTCCAGGTCCTAAAGTCTATGAAATTACATTGACACACATAAAAATCATAGCTTCACCATTTCACAAATGACAGAAATTTTAAAGTCTGCCATTCTTAAGTATGGGTGAGAATGTGGTGCAAAAGGCGTTATAAACTTCTGGGAAAAGCATAAATTGGTACAAACAACCACCTTTTTGAATAGTTTGGCAATAATTGGTAGAGTGGAAAATATGCCCCTCCTACAGCCCAGCCTTTCCACCTCCAGGTATATAGGTAGCATCTCCCATCTCGTTCCCAGCTCTGGATGTCAGAGGAAGTGCCCTCACCCAAGTCAGTGCTTTTACATTTCTTTCTACACACAACTTTCAAATTCTCCACTCCTAACCTCTAATTTCAACTATAGACCTGCGGTAGAATTCTCCATTTGGATACTGAATGGGCATTTCGAATGTATATGTACAACATGTTTTGATTCTCCCTGCCCGTAGGCCTGTCCCCTTCTCAGCCTGGAAAATTGTACCATGGTTCACCCAGATTTCAAGCCAAAACTCTTGGAATCTTCCTTGCTTCCTTGCTTTCACATCACTTCTGATCCATCAGCAAAACCTACCAGATCTATCCTCAGAATAATTCCTGAATAAATCACTTCTCACCATCTCTACCTTCATCGGACTCTCCAGGCCTACATCATGTCTTCCTGGACGATGCCAGTTGACTTTTAACTAGTCGTCTTCTTTCTACTCAGTGCTCTACAGTTTATGCTCCACACAGCAGCCAGACTAAACCCTTAAAAACTAAATCTAATCGTGTTATTCCACTCTTCAGAACCCTCCAAAGGCTTCCCAACACATTTAGAGTAAAATCCACAGTACTTAGCAAAGACTTCAGTCTAACTGATGTAGCTTTTGGCTTCCTCTCCAGCCTCATTTCTAACTACCTTTCCCCTCAGTCACACACTCCTGCATCAAGGCCTTTGCACTTGCTGATCCTTCTACCTGGGATGATTCCCCAGATTGCATGTGGCTTGCTACCTATTCGTGAATGTGACCTCCTCAGGAGGGCTTTTGCTGGCCACGTATCTAACACAGCATCCTGGTCATCCGTGATCACCTTCATTCCCTGCTTTCTATTTCCTTCTAGCACTTGCGTGATATTACATTATACTTATATTTATTTGCTAATTTATTTGTTCTCTTTCCCATAATACGTTTCATGAAGGCTGGGCGTGTCTGTTTCTCCCATCACTCCATCTGTCCCGGTGCCTTAAAAAGTACTTGCTCTTAGAACGGATGTGTGTGCCCAAGGAGATAGGTACACGGATTTTTATTGTAGTATGTTTATTTATAATTAGAAATTACCTAAATACCCATCAACAGAATCATTGACAATAAATGGGTATATTCATACATGGATCTACTCTACATTCTACAATCCTACATACTACCACTACGCATACTACTGTACATTATTCAGGGAAAAATAAATGACCAAAAGCTATTTACATGAACTGAATAAGTTCTAAGAAAATGTAAAAATAGCAAGTTGCATATGCAAATAGTGGAATATCTTTTATATAAGCTTTTAAATACAGCCGCCTATTTGGTTAAAGGCGTATGTAGTAGAGTTACAAAGCTGTTTTGAGAATGTTCAATACAAAAAGTTGGGAGTGGTTGTCTAAAAGGGAGTAGAAAGAGGGACTGCATGCAGTAGGATGGAGGGTGGGAGCACAGGGTGCTGCAAAGGCATCTGTAATTACGTATTCCTCTGAAAAATGTAAAACAAATAAGGTAAAATGTTACAAAGCTGTGGTGTGGGCCCATAGTTATTTATTATGCTATCATCTGTACTTTTCTATAAGCTTAACATCAGTTCATAACTTGCCAATGCTTAAATAAAAACAAAAAGCTGAGATGGTCAATGGTTGACAGGGTAAGAGATGTAGAAATGTTGATCGCTTCTTCTGAGACCACAGGGGACCTGCCCTGTATCAGAAAGGATTGACCGAAATGAACAGTGGCTCTTGGAGCCACATTTCAGTGATAACTGAATACTCTTCTCACCAGTCCCACACCCTGTTTCATAGATAAAAGAGGAGAAATGAATTGTTGAAACCCAGAGAGGCTGCTCATCCCTTCTCTGATCCAGTGAGAACAATAGTGCCCTACAGTTGTAGGTTTTCCACTTGAGCCCAACGTGGGGCTTGAACTCATAATCCTGAGATCAAGACCTGAGCTGAGATCAAGAATCAAATACTTAACCAGCTGAGCCACCCAGGCACCCCTGTTTTCCACTATTTTAAGAGCCCCTCTCATATGTATTCTTCTTTACCATTTATGACAGTCCTGGAAAGCAGATGTGGCCAGGATTTCCCCCCATTTGACATAAGAGGAGGTTGAGACCCAAGAACATAAGGAGTGAGTGGTAGAAATGGAACTGATGAAGGTCCCCTTGACCCCTGGTCACCACGGCTCCTGGGGCTGCACTTCTGAGCTCAGGGAATCGTGTGCTTCTGCCATCCTACTTACAAAAGCAGAACACCACCTGTCTTTTTGAATGCATTAGGTTACTTGTAATGTGCAGCTCTTATTTTGTTCAAGTTCTGAAGGATGAAGGTCCTTGGGAACGAGAATGAGAAGTTTTTACTCTTGATTAAGTTGCCTCAATTTTCAAGAAGAAAAACGTGAGAGGTGTATCTTCCGAGCCACATGTCTACTAGCTGTTCTTTTTTTCCCTTAGGCCTCATATCAAGTGATGGGTTTTGCAGATACCTGATGTCAGATGAAAATGCCCCAGTCTTCCTGGATCGTTTAGAACTTTACCAAGAAATGGACCATCCTCTGGCCCACTACTTCATCAGTTCTTCCCATAATACCTATCTCACGGGCCGACAGTTTGGCGGGAAATCTTCAGTAGAAATGTACAGACAGGTTCTCCTGGCTGGTTGCAGGTCAGAAACTCAGGACAGCTTTTTTTTTTTTTTTTTTTTTTTATGATGCCCTTCAATTTAATTGACTTTTCTCTAAAAAAAAAAAAAAAATAGGACGCAGTATTCAGAATGAAAAAGACCTTTTTCCTTCCCTTTAATTGATTATCCTGGTCATATAACCTTGAAAAAGAAAATCTCTGCTCCAGAAAGTTCTAGAATCCTCCTTTGGGCCAAAAGACATTTTTTACTGTAAATTTTAATTATCATCCCCTTTTGATCAAAATTGCAAAAAAAAATTTTTCAAGAAGTCATGCTAAGTTTCTTACTGGTCTGAAACATTTGCAAATTTAGCTCTGCTTAATGTTAAAAGTTCTAAAATGTCATTCTCTGAGAATAAAGATTATTGAAAATGGTTTTTCTTCTATGGAAATAGGCAAATATTTGAGGTTTAAAATATGGAAAAAAATGCTGAAAGTGAAAAATAAGAAATGTAGTTACATGATGATATTTTTTCTTGGTTACCATTAACCATACCTTACTTTTTAATAACTCACTATTTTTTGTGTATGGAGAGACACTAAGGAAATGACATCACTACTTCTGTCTCTGAATACTTGACACAATGAGAACATTTTCTTTTATAGCCAAAGTTACATCATTTCACCTAACAAAATTTTAAAAATTGTTCTTTAACATCATCTAAAACCCAGCCCGTATTCAGATGTTCCCATTTGTCCCCAAATTGTCCTTCATTGTACCTTTGTCATGACTGGAATTTCAGCCAGAACTTCACTGGTGGTTGTATCTCCTAAGTCTGTCTTAATCTCTGACAGTTCCTTTTTGATGACACCAGCGTGATAAAGAATATAATGTGATTTTGGCCTAATACTCCATGAAATAATCATGTTACTTAACTCAGTCCATGTTCTACTTCTTTAAGAAAACAACTTATTTTGATGTGTCTTCTTTTAATTTGCACACACACACTATTTTATTATAAGAGTTCAATATTGTAATTTCACTGTGTGCCTAGATGTGTTGAACTTGACTGTTGGGATGGAAAAGGTGAAGACCAAGAACCAATAATAACTCATGGAAAAGCAATGTGTACAGATATCCTTTTTAAGGTAAGTTTCAAAATAGCCATAGTCTTTTTCAGACTATCATAGAGATAGATGGAGTGGAGAAAACAGGTTATTCATTTTCTTAAGTGTTTTGCTTTCATATTCCTTTCCCCCAGTTTTGAAGAGAAAGTCAAGAAAACTGTTTTCTCCACTTCATAGCACCATCTTTTTCTAACTTTGCTGCTTTCAAATGGTGACAGCACCATATAATGAGGTTTCTCTGCCAGAGTCCCCAGACTCTAATTACTTTAAAAACAGTCTTCTGTTTTCTTGCTTACTTTGCATTCTTTCTGAAGGACTTCCAATGGGCGTAAAAAGATAAATAGAATACATAAAATCAAATAGATTATAAATAGTGCCTGTAAGAGCAAGGAGCTAAGTGAGTGAGGTGAGAGTTTATGAATCCTCCATAAGAAGTCCTATAAACTGCCAAGCCATGCCACAAATGGGCTCCAAACTTTCTAGAATTTAGTGCAAGGAGAGAAACATGATGATTCACAAGATTTGTAAACTAGAAACAGAGCCATTGATCCAAAGAAGCATAGTTTTTCCTGGTCCTGATGCCAGAGAAGACTTTTCCCCAAGGACCCTCAAAGAGAGGCATCTACAGTTTTACAGACAGACATTTCAGTAATGGCCTTTTGGTGATCTCTATGTACAGTTTGAAGGTTAGTTTCTTACAACACTCCTCAATATGCTCCAATGATAGCCTGCCAAAAGACAAGTCAAAAAATGAAATTCTGTGGTTGGCCAATATTCAGGTACATGTCTCTGTCAGTTTGGTGCAATTTGGAATAGTTATTGCAACATCTGGAGCAGTGGTTCTCAATCCTGCCTACATGTGGGAAATCACCAGAGGTATTTGTAAAAACAGATGCCTAGGCCCTTTACCCATAACACTCCATGCACATACCATTTCTCTTAGCCAGATGTTGGTGAATTTTGAGCATCAGTGAATTCAAGATTATGTTCCCTGAGAAGGAATTATACTCCCTGAGAAGTATCAAGAATATATTCAAGTGGGAAGCCATGAGTTTGCACAGCCAACCAAACTGACAGGAAGGGTTGTCCTCTTTAGAGAATTAAGGAGCCTAATAAGGAAGCTTAACTGAAAAGAAGGCTATTTCTTCTCAGCTCAGAGGTGAGCAAAGGAGAACCCATGGGCAGAGCCAAAATTTTCCTCAAGGACTTAATTCTTGATCAACTCAAGTGGACAGTCAAGGTCACAGGAGTTTTCACCTGTGAAGAAGCTTTAAGCAAGAATAAAGGACTTAGCCATAAGGATGCTCACTAAAATACTCCAGGATTATCTAACCCAAGGCATTAGATGGGTTTCAAATGGACTTCCCTAGATTACTGTAAAATTTTTTTCCAATTTAACTGAATTTTTCCTGTGGTTAACGATAAGCCAGTAAGAATTTGGGGATTTTTACCAAATACGATGCTGTGGTTGTAGAAACATCAGTTTGAAACCATGCTTTCTAAAGCTAAGCAGAGAGCAAGGTCAGCCATCTGTGGGAAGGATATGCTCAGCTCATTCAAAGGTTGTTTCAAATGACTGAGCTTCCAGTTCAGAGAGAGGCATCCAGAACACCTCCTGTTTAACCTCACATGTTGCTTGATCAAGGAGAGCACCCTCCCTCGTCACCTCCTCCCCCCCATTTTCATCAGACTAATAAGAAACAAGGGATGTTGCAAATGTCACAGGAATCTTCATCGAATTAATGAAATGTAGCCAAAACCTCACCTGCTTTTCAGCAAGAAAGATGAGCTCTGAACCTGTCTTGTCAGGTAATTGAGCAAGGAACCAGCATGCCATTGAGATGAAATTTCTTGCCAGTTAATAGCGCCATAATGTTGGAGAAGCCAAAGTTAGCTTTGAAAAAAATTGTCGTTAACCATTAGTTGCGCCTGGGTCTAACCACAAGGAGACTCCACCTGTAAAGGTATCAAGGTGAATGGGTTCTCCAGGTCTTAATTGCCAGAACTGACATTTGGAAAAGCTGAAATTAATAGTCTCTGAATGGTTTCAGGTAACTTAATTTATTTTTTTGGTCTTCTCTTTTTTATCTTTAAAGGATGTTATTCAAGCCATCAAGGAAACCGCATTTGTCACATCCGAATATCCTGTAATTCTCTCCTTTGAAAATCACTGCAGGTATAATGATGCGTTCTACTTGAAGTATCTATTACTCAATCCCCACTGCTGCTCTACATCTTTTTAAATAGCTGAATAGTTTTGGGAAGTGGTAAGGACACTTGGTCTTATGCAAAAAAAAAAAAAAGAGGGAGGAAAAAACCCCCAAATCACTACCCCCACCACCACCTCCAAAAAAAATACAAAGGGAAAAAAACAAGTCATCTTGATGTGTTTTAGAGATGTTTCCTCTAAAAGGTGAGAGATCAGGACACCTTGCTCAAAGTTCCACTAAGTTGGAAGATTTGGCAGTGGATTTGAAAGCAGACTTGATGAACTTGAAAGCCATTTTTTATTGTTTGCCAGCTCTTATTTTGGGGGGGGCAAAATCTACTTTTCAAACTATACCAGTTAAAGTCTGTGGTATGTAACCGAGCATCTCACCTAGCATCAAGAGGACAAGCGTGGATTTTGCAGAGTGGGAGTTTTTAATCACCTAGGAATGGATGTTTCTTATTCTTGGACGGTTAATGGATGTTTGAATTTACAAATGCCAGTGTTCTCTCTCTCCAGCAAATATCAACAGTACAAGATGTCCAAATATTGCGAAGATCTATTTGGGGATCTCCTGTTGAAACAAGCACTTGAATCACATCCAGTATGTATTTTTAGCAAACCATATTTCTAACCTGAATGGATTTGTTTTGAAATTCATTTCTAAAGGGTCAAGTAGTGCTAGAGGACTAAAGATCTTCATATTTATTTAAATTCATTGGTATGGAAAGCTTTCGTGCTTCGGACAGATGTGTAGAGAGACATAAAATAAACATCTGGTTCAATTTAATTTAGAAGGTCTCGAGGTCTTTATGGTTTTTGAGATCTCAGTTGTAAAGTTTTATAAAATGCCCAGGGGCCAGGAGTCTATACTCAGCATTTGTTCTCAACTTGGTTGTATGATAGAATCATCTACAAGGACTATTAAAAATACCTTTGCCAGGGCCCCACTCAGAGATTCTGAGTTAATTGATCTGAGTAAGGCCTGAGCATGGTGTTTTTAAAAAACCCTCCATGTGAATCAAATGTGCACATAGGGTTCAGCACCCATGGGAGCCCATTGCTGTGAGAAGTCCCCTAAACTGAAGTCACAGGAGTCTGAAGTTCAAGCTCCCAACTCCAAAACAAATATTGGGGGTGCCTGGGTGGCTCAGTCGGTTGAGTGTCCGACTCTTGGTTTTGGCTCAGGTCATTATCTCGGGGTCGTGAGATGGAGCCCCATGTTGGCCTCCACACCCAGTGCAGAGTCTGCCTGAGAGCCTCCCCCCCGACTCGTGCGTGCACCTGTATGCGTGCTGTCTCTCTCTGTCAAAGAAATAAAGTCTCTAAAAAAAAAAAAAAACGAAAAAAACCCAAATACTTGGAAAATATTATACATCCATTTTTTTGAGCTTCATTTTTACACCCGCAAATTGCTTCATACAGCAAAGAACTTTTAACCTGTGGCCCACAGATAGGCTTTGTGAGGTCTGTGACCTCATTCTAATTGCGTACATTTTTTTTTTTTGTATATAATTATTCCAGAGAGTTCATCACATTTTTTCAAGGATCCATAACCTCCAAGTGGTGAAGATCCACTGTGCCAAGATGTTATGAGTAGTAAGAGAGCTAACGGGATTAAGTATAAAGTACTTTGCAGTAGTAAAAAAAAAAAAAAAAAAACTGGAAAGAAAATCTAGGACACAAGGATATTTGCATCCTTTGCACCCACCCCCGATTGTCTTCAGCCTATGGACGCCATGCTTCAGGCTCCCTGCCCCTGTCCGTGCAGCATTCCCTGTTTTCCCTGCACGCTGGCCTGACTTTTGGCTGCCAGTGGCTGAAGCTTTTCCTGTGAGGTGGGGTGCTCTGGTCCCCGGAGCCTGCTCTGCCCATATGCGAAAGACAGGCCAGAAGTGCTGGAGAGCTCACGCCCCTCTCCCTTGGCCCTCTCATTCGGCAGGAGGAACAGCTCCAGAGCAGTCAGGCTCCCCAGCCGAACCACATGCCTGCCCCCTCGGTGATAACTTGTCTGATAACACCCCCTTGGGGTTGGCTGCTTGCCTTCTTTTTCTCACTTTCCCACCCCCTGTTGGACATTCCTGAGGCTGCTGCCCAAATAGACTATGGGACTATTCACATCCTTGTCTCAGAGACTGATTCTGAGGGAACCCAGACTAAGAAACGGCCCTGATTTTTTAATTTTAGTTTTACTTAGGCCCTCTGTTTGCTTTTCCTACTGGGCTAAGGTGCTTGCTTCTGTGGAAAGATCCCTGTATGTTTCGTAGAGTGATATGCACGTACATGATAAGTGTTGTGGGGAGGGTAGATGAATACACATGGGAGTAAGACCTCCCTGAAGTAAAAAGCTTTCAGTCTTGAGGGGGGCTGTGGGGGAGACACAGAACACACAGGTAAAACTATAGCTACAAAGGAAGATGGCCTGTGACCTATTGAATACTTACTAGAGATAGCCAGGTTCAAGAGAGATCACTGGGGAATGAACCAGTTACAGCAGGCTTTGGAAGGAAGCAGAATTTTGACAAGAGCTTTGAGGCAACACAGACATAGGAATGCACAGTGCTTTGCATGTAATAAGTAGTAAAAGGATTACTTTTGGGAAAAAATGAATGGATGCATGGAAAAGATGGGTGGGTGGTTGGGTGGGTGGGGGCATACATGGATGCATGGGACAATGGGGAATGGGTGGCTAGATATGGCGTAGTTGTATGGGTCAGAGGTAATAGAATAAAGGACTTCGCTTTTGCAGACATAAATCCAAGCAAACGAAACCACAGTAGAGGTCAGGTTTCAGTAATTGACCACTCCCTTCTTGATTCTCTTACTGAACCTACAAAACACAATCCCAAGTATTGGGGTTACATCAGCCTACTGAGTAAACAGGCTTCCTAATACAGCTGAACACTTGGGGGGATCAGGGGAGCCTTTGACTTCTGCCTGGGAAAGCCGTTCTGACCCTAGCTATCACAATGACCCCTTATACTTTACCCGATATATAAAAGGAGCAAGACCTGAAGTTGAGCAGGAGCCCTCCCCCAACAGCACCCCAGGTCAGACCCAGCTCCCGCTGGGGAAGGTAGAGTGGCTCTGCATAGCTCTGGGAGACTGTGGATGTCAAGTTTGCAGTCTAAGGCAGAGTTGCATGCAGTAGGCTGATTGGGGTTGGAGAATGAAAACATAAAACTGTGCGGACTGCCATCTAGTGGATGTTGGGCTGTATAACAGGCCTCCATGCTCTGGGCTGGGAATGAAACAGAAGCAGCACATCATTAATTCAGCCTTTTCTGTTTATCTCTAGCTTGAACCAGGCAGGCCCTTACCATCCCCCAATGACCTCAAAAGAAAAATACTCATCAAAAATAAACGGCTGAAACCTGAGGTTGAAAAAAGTAAGTCAAAGACACACACCAATGATGAAGCATACACTCATTGTGTGTTTGGACAATTCAGCTGTCTAAAATGAAATCTATTTTAAAACCACTGATGTGGGGGAGGAAGGGAGCATAGCAGTGTTGCATATACTTTTCAGAGTGAAGTGGCCACATTGACATTTAAGTGTAGGTTCTTGCAGTGGGAAAAACATATTCATATATTCATAGGATACAGGATTTGGAATGATCCCAAGGCAAAATGAGAAGAAAATGAAAGAGGAACTATAGAATTTATAGAAGGAACCAGGGTTTTATCATTTAGTATGCTTTAAAGTCCTCTTAAAAGCCTTTTGCAGTTTGCCTTTGTGAGATATACATATCTAGGGGTCCTAGGTGAATGTGTGAATGTGTATATGTGTGGAGAGAGAGAAATGATTTTATATTTTCCCTGGAGATTTTTTTGAAAATATTTCCTTTCGGCCAATCTCTTAATTCAATGAATTGGTAGCATTAAATATTGGTATGATTACATTGTGTTTTTACCCTAGGTATTCTAAGTTTTATTTTTTTGAATTTAAATTCAATTAATTAACGTATAGTGTATTATTAGTTTCAGAGGTAGAGTTCAGTGAGGCATCAGTCTTATATGACACCCAGTGCTCATTACATCACTTGCCCTCCTTAATGTCCATCACCCAGTTACCCTATCCCCACACCTGTCCCCTCCAGCAATCCTCAGTTTGTTTCCTATGATTAAGAGTCTCTTATGGTTGGCCTCCCTCTCTGATTTCGTCTTGTTTCATTTTTCCCTCCCTTCCCCTATACTCCTCTGTTATGTTTCTTAAATTCCACATATCAGTGAGATCATATGATAATAACCTTTCTCTGACTGATTTCACTTAGCATAATACACTCTGGTTCCATGCACGTCGTTGCAAATGGCAAGATTTCATCTTTTGATGGCTGAGTAGTATTCCATTGTGTGTGTGTGTGTGTTTGTGTATATATATATATATATATATACTGCATCTTCTTTATCTAAGTTTTAAATTACAGTAATTATTATTTATTACAGAAGGAATACCATAGGAAAATGAAAACAACAAAGAAAAATATAAGAAAATAATAAAATAGCACTGAGTTATATATTTTATACATAGATACATGTACTATAGCTACATGTTTAGACATACATTTTTGATAAAACTGGGATCATGTTAAATATACTGATTTTTTTATTATCTTTAATTCAACCAATTGAATATACTTACATTCCTACTACAGTTACTACATACTAACTTTTAATGTATGAAACACTGCAGAATTTATTATGTGGGATATGCTACCATTTAGCTGGTCCCAAATTGATGGATTTTCATTTTACTGTAAAAACAGTGATAAACCTGTGTCAATGTTCATTTTGTACGTTTGCGCAGCTTCTCTTTGGAATTGGTGCAATTCAAGTTGGTTGGCCAAAGCATATATACATTTTATATTGTGATGCATCTTGTTATACTGTCTGTCAGAAAAATTGTACCAATTTACACTCTCACCAAAATACAGGAGAATGCCTGTTTCCCAGTGATATTCTTACTGCTGGCATTTGGCCATCTTGTATGTGTGTGTGTCTGACTGGTAGAAGGAAAACGAGACTGTGGTTTTTTGATAGTTATGTTTTTAGTAAGTAGTTTCTTGATATATCATTATCGATAACATGCTTCTATATCTTTTTCCATTTTCAAAATTCTTTCGTGGATCTTACTGATGTATAAGAGCTTTCTATAGAGGATAATAATCTCAGGTCTATCAGTCACAGACATTTTTGTCCTGAAGTTGTGTCAGTCTCCAGTGTGCATGTCTCTTTTACATCACTTTAATATCATCAGTCTCCAAACCATGGGCTTTTGTCGCCAAGCCTAAATCCTTTTCAGTGACTGAGCCTTCCTCTCAAACGTAGGACCAGAACTTTGGGCATTTCACCCACACTCCCATAGTTCCTTCATCAAGTGTAGACAGTGTGACAGTTGCACGTCCCGTGAGAAGTCCAGCCAGCAGGTCCAGGTGAGACAGTGGCCTTAGGAACATAGCCATGAGGAGCTTAGACAATACATTCCCTTCTCAGTGTTGATCTTAGGACTCTGGCTTTGCAAATCATGTAGCATCTGTCACCATCTCCTTCCTGTTGGTTTTGAATAACAGAACAGCTCGAGGCTTTGAAAAGCATGATGGAAGCTGGAGAATCTGCCGCTCCAGTTAGCATCCTCGAGGATGATAATGAAGAGGAGATAGAAAGTGGTGAGTTGGTTTTCTTTTAATTTATGTGTCACAAAAATACTTTTTTAAAAAAGTTTATCTTTAAGTACTCTCTACACCCAATGTGGGGCTCAAACCCATGACCCCGAGATCAAGAGTCGCATGCTCTCCAACTGAGCCAGCCAGGCGCCCCACAAAAATATTTCTTAAAATAAGAAAAACATGAGTTTGTCTCCATGGACTCTTTTATATAATGTGATGGCTTAATTCTTATTAGTCAAGTGTGTATTCATGCACCAAGCTTTAATCTTTTGGTATTTTTTGGTATTTTTCCAAATGTTCCTTCCAGTTTACCTGGGCACTAGATTTTTGTGGCTTAATCATCTCCCTTCCTGTTGTGCATTCAGCTGCTCAGCAGAAATTCACAGCCAGAGAATCCTTGCTGTAGAAGGCAAGGGGTTGGAATAAAAAGAACATTTGCAATCCCTTCCTATAAACAAAAGCATAAACTTCAAGGTTGTTAATGATGATAGTACTAAGGCAAGTTACAAGGAAAGGAACATGAGTAGGGACCCTCAGGTAAATGATGGGTTTGTGTGCACACACAAAATGAACTGGAAATTCAAAGCCAGTATTAAAATTTCAAGTTGAAATTCTTTCAAATAACCAGCTCACCAGAATTATCAATATACGTAGGTAATTTTAGCAAAGGTAGCCTTGCTTAAAATATTTGAATATTTGCTACTAGCTTCTATTTTACTTGGGCCATATAGCCACAGCCATAATATTTGGTTTTAAATGGGTCTTTTGAAAGGTTTGGAATGTTTTAGAAAATTATTTCTCCACTATGTGGTATGAAAATTGATTAGCAAAATGACTTGGCTTTACATTTTGTGTCTACTGGTTGGACAGTGCCTTGGATTTATGTAGTGGTTTGGGGCTAAATAATGTAGAAACACTAGCAGAAACTCTCTTCACTTACTATATAAACATCTGAAATATACGAGTAGACTTTAGGAAAGTTTGATACTATAGGTGAAAACCTGAAAGCTATGAGAATTAACTAATCTCAATAATAAAAATGGCTTAATAAAGATGGCTCACTATGGAACAGACTTCACCATGATGGTGTGTGTTGCATGTCCAAACCAGGGGTTCAACTCTACTCCCAGAGAACAGGCATACTGACTTACTTTCATAGGTTGTATATGGCAGGGAGTGTCTAGGAGGGCGAAGATACCTGGAGTTATTTAATTGGTGACTGTTACAATGATCTATTACTGTGTAACCACCCCAAAATCTAGAGGCTTAAAAAAACACTTTATTACTTTCTCTCATAGTTCTGTGGGGGCATCTGGACTCCCACTGGTGCTTCTCCCTCAAGTTTCTCATGCATTTGCAGGCAGATGACATCCAGAGCTAGAGTCATCTGAAGGTTTGGTTGGGCCGGTTGTCCCAGATGGCCCACTCCTGTGGCTGGCAGTTGCTGTGGGGAGCTCAGCAGGGTCTGAGGACCAGAGCACCTCCATGTGTCCTGTCCATGTGGTTTGGGCTTCTCACAGCATGGTGGCCAAGTTTCTAGATGGAGCAACCTGAGGGCCAGTGTTCCAAGAGGCAGAATGCAGAAGCTGCTAAACTACTTTAAGAACTATGCCCAGAACTGGCCCATCATCATTGCCTGTATATTTTGTTCATCAAAGCAAAATTAAGGCCTGCCCAGGTTTGAGGGGGTGGGTGAGTAGCAAGATCACATTCTAGAAGAGCATGTAGGAGAGCAGATATTGGAGCTGTCTTTGGAAAATGCTGTCAACCACGATGACTATTATTTCACTTTTTTTTTTTTTTTTGCAAATAATAAACCTAAACACGATTTAAGAATAAAATACTGAAAGGAATATTATTTGAAAAGGTCAATAAAATACTTCAAAAATTTGAAAAGATGAATATTATAACATTTTAGACGTTATTAGATCCTACAATCCAGTAAAACAAACTGCAGAATACTGGACTGAATTAACAAGGAAAATAATAATATGAATAGCAACCACCATTGTTGTACTAACTGTGAACGAAGCAGTTTGCATCACCACCTTATCTTTATATGGCCCAATGAAATAGGTGTCATTACACTCATTTTTCAGATAAGGAAGTTGAAGCTTAGAGAGGTAAACATAGTCTGCACATGACCCCACAGCTGGTGTACAATGACACTAAGATTCAATCCCAGAATTGCCTGACTCCAGGTTCAAGACCTTTTTTACCTTACAGTACTGCCCTTCTAATATACAGGAATACGAAGGGAACACAAATACACAAAATTGTTAACATTTTTTTTAGAGAAAAAAATGTAACTGATGATAGTCAAAGATGTGAAATTTCTTGAACACACACTAACCAAAGATGAGGGTCAGTGTGATTCCACTTATCATCCTTAAGGGTACTTCCCACCTTTTATGCATATGTTCATTATTCCTACAAAATATTTGGCTCTGATGGCTCCCATGTTGTTCAGTGTGAACAGAAATAATCATGTGGGATAGCATACATGTAGAAAATTAGCTGAGAGGACAAAATCATCCACTTGAATTTCTGTTTAAGTGTATACAGGTTTCTGCTTTACCAGTTACATATTCTTAGTTTCCCTCAGTGATGCCTGGCTTAATTCTGGTCAACCAGTTGGCTATAATTACCCCAGTGTCACAGTACGATCCTACTATACATGAATGACTAGAGTCTCTAAATACTTCAACACAGCAGGCAAGAGGAAACCAAGCATAGCTCGAAAGGGTACCCTGCCTGGAGGCTGTAGAAAATAGAAAAGCCCTTAGTCAATGAAAGCATGTGCCCATTCATTAGGCAGGATTTAGATTCAGAAGGACACGTGGCTTCCAGGACTGTAGTGACAAGCAGTGGGGAATGCCAAAACTGTGGTTGTGGGTATGTCTGTGCATCCTTGCACAATCAAGGGATGGCAACATTCATTCATACAACTCTTTTTCTTTTTAAAAGATTATTTATTTATTTGAGAGAGAGCACACATGCAAGAGAGAGAGAGAGGTGGGGGAGCAGAGGGAGAGGGACAAGCAGACTCCATGCTGAGTGTGGACCCCAATGCAGGGCTCGATCTCAGGACCCCGAGATCAAGACCTGAGCCAAAACCAAGAGTCAGACACTTAACCAACTAAGCCACCCAGGCACCCCTTTTCATACAACTTTTTTAAAGTCAAGTCTCTACCACTTGTATGGGACACATTCCTTGACTTCAAGTAGTTTATATCTGGCTGGCCAGGTTAGACTTAGAGATATATGAACTGGAAATTTACTAATAATGTTGGGAAGTTTCAAAATCTTGGTTACAGACTGTAGGTCATAGAAATCCAGCGGTCATGGAAACTCAGTGTCATGTTAAGAGCACTGTGCTAAGAATCCAGAGAAATCTAGGTCCATATTTTACTCTGTGACCTTGGATTTGTAAGTCATATCTCTGAATCTATTTCCTCATCTATAAAGTGGACACACTGGACTAGGTTTTTTAAAGACCTATTCCAGCTCCTTAAATCCTTTTTTTCCTGCCAAAGGCCTATATGACCTACTTTTTTTTTTTCTCTTTGTAATCATCTACCTCCACTCATCCATCCATCAAAATACCAGTTTCAAAACAGGAGGGTGTCTGTCTGTCTTGCCTCACTTTTTTTCCATGTCTGGAATAACACTTTGCAAAAAACAATCCCTCAAGAAATTCCAAATCTAAGACACCATCAGTTGAAAGACACCATTATTTTATAATGACTAGGAAAGAAAATGCTTCCAAGTAATTGTAAAATAGCATCGATTAAAAGAGCATGTTACAACATCAGAAATACTACTATGTGAAAAAAAATGCATCTTAGAACTGATGAAATAGTTTTTTTCATCATAAAAAAAATTTCCAATTCTTACGGGTCTACTTCCCACTCTCAGGAGTCCATACTCAGAAATTATTTCACTGTTTTTTCCAGTAGTGATCACTCATGCCCTGTGTTGTGACAGTGTGAATTTGTGTTGGCCTTGTCCTGAGGCCTATGGGTTTCTCCTGATCTTGACAAGTTTTTAGGCAAATCCTAACCTGGGAGCTTTTTGCAGAGTGGGGATCATGGGAATCCAGATCTCACACCAGCATGTGGGTGATTCTTTGTCCACTGACAGCCCTGGGATGATACCAGCCTCAGGAAGATCCAGAGTTCTTGTGACTTTCTGGACTGGTGGACTGAGTCCTCCTGTGCCTCCTTTCACAGCCTGGGCCATGCTCCTGGGGCATCAGCTTTATTTAGCACTCACTTCCAGCCTCCCAGTTAGCATGAGCCCTAGGAATGATTCTTGTGTCTCTGAAACCCAAGCCAGGGTTGACAGGTGGTTTACAGGTGCAGTCCAGTCCTCCCAAGCTCTTTCTCTTTTATGTCACACCACTCCCGGCCACATGTCACTATGCCCGCGATATTCAAATACATATTTAGTCTCTTTTTTAAAATTATCAAGTGTATTTTCCTTTTCTCGTATCTTCCTTGTGTTTTCCCTAAGTCCCAGGGAAGCTCAAAACACCCTGTGTAAGTCATAGATATTCCTGAGTGCTTGAGGCTTTAATTTTTACAGTTAGTGTACTGGGATGGAAATCATCACTCACTTAAGAAGAATGCATTAAGCAACACGCATGTCAAACATCATGCTAGATGCGTGAGAAATAACAGCTAACAAGATGTGCTCCTTGGCCTTGAGAGCTAGTGAGAGTTTTACTTGAAAAAGTTTGCCTATTTAAATGTTCCCATCTTCATTTAGCTTCCTTGCCTTCTGAAGGAGTTTATGCTCCACCCAAGGTTCTGAAGAAGATCTGACTAATGGGCAGTAATTTGGCTTCATGGATTTTCCTTTTGTCTTTCACACAGCTGACCAAGAGGAGGAAGCTCACCCTGAATACAAATTTGGAAATGAACTTTCTGCTGATGACTTGGGTCACAAGGAGGCTGTTGCAAATAGTGTCAAGAAGGTCAGAGTCTCAGTGTCCCTTTTTTTCATGATTGTCAAGAAGTAGTAGCTAATAGTTATGAATTTTAAAAATGTGACAACTACAAGAAAATAAAGTAGCCTATAATTCCCTTTCTACGTTGGGTGACCAGAATCAGTATCTTAATGCAAGCTATGCACAATAATAAGTTAGAAAAGACATTTGAATTGCTCATTAGCCATGCCCAGTGTTGACCACCACCTATTTGTCCAGTATCCTTTAAGTAATATCATTTATTGCATTATTATAGGTGAATATGAGATTACAACAGCAACCTGGGGACAGAGGTTAGCCTGTTGACCCACCCGATTCTCCCAAGCAAGTCCTCATTAGAAAACCAGTCCCACCAGTTAGATATCTCCTCTCCCTCCTAATGTAGAATAAACATGAAAGTTTTTCCATCTGTCAAACTGTTTAGCCAAGAAAAATGGCCATTATGTACCTACTGTGTGCAAGGCATAGTCTAGGCCATAACAACCCCAAAAAGATCAAAACAGCTTATAGTCTGATGGGAGTTTATTGGAAGGGAGTAGGAAACAGACAACCATCAACTATATAATTACAATTTGTGAAAGTGCTAGTATGAAACTAAAAACTAGTGCTAAAATGGAGAATCACGAGGTTGAGGGAATAAGGACACCAGAACCCCAAAGGTAAAGAAGAACCAGCCATGCACAGAAGTAGAGGAAGGGCCCAGCTATGAGATAACAGCAACAGAGACACTGAACAGAGTGGGCTGAGTGAGGGGCAGAGGGAAACAAGATGAGATTGTACAGGCAGGTAGGAACTAGATGATACAGGATTTGGGAAGCTACTATGAGAAACTCAAATGTTAATTCAAGTGGAATCTGAAGCCACTGAAAATGTTTAAAGAAGGGAGCAATGCAGCCTGATAGGAGTTTTTAAAAACCACTACATGTGACTATATGGAGACTGGTTAGAAGGGAGCAAGAGTGGACGTGGGAAAAGTGGTTAGGCCAGACTGTTGCACTTAGCCAGACCCCCAAGGCTTAAACCGGACAGTAGAAACAGGACTGAGTGGGTTCAAGGTCTACTGAGGAAACAAAAATGATCCAACTTGCTGATGGACTGAAGGTGGGCAAGTAAGCAGGAAAGAGAAAAATGAGATGACTCTCTGGGTCTGAGTCTGAGGAGCTGGGTGGACAGTGGGGAAGACTGGAAGAGAAAGAACTCAGTGTCTCAAGTGGGACAGGATCTTTGATGCCAGTGAGATACTCCAGGGGCAGGCCACCTAGGCACCTGTAGCCTTGACCCATGACGCTGCTTTCATTTCCTACCTGTGTGACCTCAGGTAAGTCACTGAAGCTCCCAGTGCCTGGGTTTTCTCAACTGCAAAATGAAGATGATAATACCTATCCCATTGGTCCGTTGTGAAGAGTCGTTGGGTCTAGAATATGTAAAGAGCTTCCTATGGTGCCTAGCACATGGTCATTCCCATTAAGGCATTCATTATTGCTGCTCTATTATCATTTTCATCTTCACCATTGTTGTGAGCATCATCATCACCTGTATCTAGAATTAGAGGAGAGGTGGGGCTGGAGATATAAACTGGGAGTTCAGGAGATAGGATTTAAAGCCATCGAAATAAGTGAGATGATCCATGGGTAGAGGCAGAGAAGGCAGGCCAGAAAAGAAGAGCAAGGTATGTCCCAAGAGGTAGGAGGGAAATAGATGAAGGAAGATCAAGGAAGCCAAGAAACCAGGGGGAAGATGAAAAGAAAGGTGGTTTTTGTTTTTTTTTCCCTGCAGCTTAATTGAAATATAATTGACACATAACATTGTGTAAGTTGAAAATGTATAGGTGATGATTTGATAGATTATGAAATGATTATTTCAATAAGGTTAATGAACATATCCATTGCCTCATAATTACCTCTGTGTGTGTGTGTGTGTGGTGAGAACATTTAAGATCTGTTCTCTGAGTAACTTTCAAGTATACAGTAAAATGTTGTTAACTATAGACACCATGCTATTTGTTAGATCCCCGGAATGTACTACTCTTAATAACTAGATGTTTGTCCCCTTTGACCAACACCTCCCCATTTCTCCCACCTCCTGGCGCCTGGTAAAGTGGTTGGTTTTTGACCACTGTTGATAAACTCACTAAGAAGACTCAAGAGTGTCCATTGCTGGCAACATGGAGGTCATTCGTAACCTTGAAAAGAGAAATTTCAATGGTATGGTGGGGGCCACTGAAACAGACAGATGTGAATGAGTAGAGACTATACTTTTGAGAAGTTTTGCTATAAAGGGAAGCAAGGTATAGGCTGGTAGCCATAGCAATCTGAGGAGTCAAGGGAGTGTTATTTTTAGAATGAATGAATCTAGAGTGTGTTTGCAAACTTTTGGAAATGGTGCCGTAGAGAGGGAGAGATGAGTCTTGCAAGAGAGAGAAGGGATAACTGCCTGTGAGTTCCTGGAGAAGGTCAGAGTGGATGGTATCCATGGTGATGTGAGGGTGTGGTCTTTGATGGGTGCAGGGATTCTTAGTCATTGAAGACAGTGGATGAAGATGCCAGGAGGTGCATGCATTTGGTAGTAGCTGAAAATTGGAGAGTGTTTGAAAAGCAAAGCCTAAGGAACACTTAGATTACGCCCTCCCTCCTCTGATAGAGAGTACTGTCACTATTTGGAGACTCTTGGATGCCTACTAAGACTCAGTGCCTACCTCAATGCTACCTTACCACATAAAGCCTTTATCAGTACCCACACATGAGTGTTGAATCGAGTAACCATTCATGCTTGCCTGCCCTTTTCAGATCAGGAGAAGTGGCCACATCAAATTATTTTCCAAGCCCCATGATGAAATAATTAAACTACTATAAGGAAACATCTAAATAGGAAAGACTATCAACAAAGGAGGGGAGATAGTATTAAGATTTATTTTTCTGGTATGTAAGTCAGGCTGTTGTATCTTTCCAGTACTTATTTTGTTGATGGCTTTATGTCATCAATAATTTTCCACCTTCACAAATAAATAGAATAACAAGCTTACATATATTTATTTAAATATTTATATATATATGGCTAGTAAAATTGGGATTTTGCCCTTTAGAGAAGTAAACAAATTATTACCTTCCTCTAATTTAGGCTTCGGATGACCTTGAACATGAAATCAACAAAAAGGTAAGAAAATCATTACCTGGTGCAATTTGTTTTCATTACAAAATACCATATGTGCCCCTCTAATATTGAACAGTTTGTATTAAATGATGTTACCTCTGTCTCCCCCTCCCACTCACCCCATGGAATGTCTGGCTTACTGTTTATCATATTCACATGCTTAATGCATCTAACTACAAGAGTCTTCGAAAGAAAGAATTATTCACGGTGATGAAGTGATTAAATCCTGATAAAAATCACAAAACTAGGGCAGGTGAATAAGATGTTTCTCCTTAAAAAAGTGTTTAGTGCAGTCAGGCCCTTACTTGGCATTAGAGATTTCATTCCTATAACAGGAATGCGTAATCATCAACACATTGAATTTGAAAATAAAAATGACCTAATAGGTCATCAGATGTCCCAGCATGCTAGAAAGGTGGTCTTGTTTCCGACTACACTGGCATTTTAAAAGATCATTAGTTAATTTCACACTGCAGGCATTCTAGGACTTTTATTTGCTGTTCTTAGATATTGACTTTATTATAAGTTGAGTTAAATTTTTAATTTCTTTTGTCCTCTTTGACATTCTTCATGATACCCCAATGGTTTTATTGAGTAAATGCAAATGGTTTATCATGGTGTTGAGACTGGTGGCCCTCGCAGGCAGAAATTTGCCTTGTAATTTGACTCCCATTCTTCAGAGCTTCAGAACATCATGTCTGGCTATCTGTGGGGCACTGTTTTATTATTTGGAATGAGACCCTATCTTCTTACTGTCTAAATAGTGAGTTTGGAATAGTTATGGATAAGTCTGATCTCAATCCCTCCCATGATGTTCATGAACTGCTCTTCTAGAGTTTCAGGAGCTATTGAGGTCAACAAAGCAGAGGTTGGTGTTTGGTCACTGCTATGTATTAGCTAAGTAGCTGTGACCGAATTGCTTTAATCCTCAAGGCCCCCCAGTCTTCTCACATGGTCAGTGGGTGGGACTCTAATCCTTACTCCACATGATTACTAGCAGTAATGAAGTTGTGCATGCAGGAATTCAGACCAGTGCCTAGCACATGGTCCTGGTGTTACTTACCATCATTAAATACCCAAGAAAGCAGTCAGACATGGCCTCTGCCCTTGTTTAGGTGGACGGGACATATAAAGAAATGACTAAAAATAAAAACAAGTTACATTATTTGATTATTTATTTCAGGTTTTTATTGGTGAAATCAGTTTGAGGATTTAGAATGTTCAGATTGTTAAATCATCGGATAAGACAGCCTGACCACTTTTTTTAAACTAGTCCATTCCTATAAATAGTCCATAGGAATGGACTAAGTGGTTCATCCACCTGTATCAGTCTATGCAGGAAAGTGGCACAAAGTGGAAAAACAACTTCAGTGTGTATCAGAATCCCCTGGAGGGCCTGTTAAAACATACATTCTTAGACCTCATCCTCCGAGTTTTCCAATGAAGTAAGTCTTCATTGGGTTTTCAAAGTTAGCTCTCAACAAAATGTGGATCATTTTTGAAAGTATTATTTTTGTTGTTTATTTCGTTCCGATTTACCAAGAAATAAACCAAAATAATTTGCCTCTATGTAAAATAATGCAATTTTGACATGTCCTCTGTAGTGGGTTATCAGATTATTTTCAGAATAAGCTTTTTTAAAAAGTACCATAAACTACTTATGTATGTGGCTTAAATTCTAGACCGGTGTTAAGCAAAGTAGGGTCCCCAGACTGGCTACATCATTAGCACTTAGGAGCTAGATGAAAGGAAATACTTGGGCCTCACCCCACATTCACTTCATCAGAAACTCTGAGGATGAGGTCCAAGAATGTATGTTTTAACAAGCCCTCCAGGGGATTCTGATACACTCTGAAGTTGTTTTTCCATTTTGTGCCACAATTTATGAAATTACAAATAATACTTGCTATACATTTCCATAGATTGCTGTGAACCTCAGTATACTTTCTTGACTATTTTAAAGTCCTTTGGCAATCTTAAAAAAATGTAAGAGAAGGCTTATATTTTGTTATTATCTCCTTTTATATTATTAGGGGCTATGATAGACATGAACTTTTTTTTTTTTTTTTTAAGTAGGCTCCGTGCACAATTTGTGGCTCGAACTTATGACCCTGAGATCAAGAGTCTCTTGCTCTACTATCTGAGCCAGGCAGGCACCTCTAGACAGGAACTTTTAAAATTATCCTGTAGCAAAATTGAGGAAGAAAAGGTCTTTATCTTTCAATCTGTGTGTGCACATCATCTTTAGTGAGGATGTCTGTAGCATGTACCTGTCCCACCGAAGTCCTCAACACACATATTCCTTTCATTGTGTTTGTAGGGTCTGGTTACTGTGGAAGATGAACAGGCATGGATGGCATCTTATAAATATGTAGGTGCTACCACTAATATCCATCCATATTTGTCTACAATGATCAACTATGCACAGCCCGTAAAGTTCCAAGGTTTCCATGTGGCTGAAGGTAACACCAAAGGTTAAATTCTATTGCCTTTTTTTTGTCTGCTTCTCTTTTATTATGCTGATGAGCTGTGATCTGACTTGTCCCCATTTTTCTTTTCTGGGCACGGGCCCTGTTCCATCTCACCCTGTTTTGCGTCACAGACTATGCATGTAGCCTCGTGTGTCCTTGGCATGCAGAGACATTGCCTTGTCGTTCCCTACATCATCCACAGGGTGGCTCTGAAAGACTGGATTTCTTAGCACTAGGGGAGCTTAGTATCACTTCTTGCATTCGATGTATTTTCGTAAGACCCCTTTTAATCAAAAGCGACCTCCAAAAATGGGTACGGTATTTTTAAACTTTCATAATCATATTTTGGGCTGGAGAAGCCACCATCGGTCATCATATATACATATCTCAGGGGTGGCTGTGTGGGACATATATACATAATTTGTTTAATGACTCCAAATTTAATCCATCACTATTTAAGTCAGCTGTCTCTATCCACAGGACGTTAATGAAAGTAGGAGCTGCTAATATGATAACAGAACATCGGCCTCCAAAGCCTCGTGATTTGGGATGTAATTATATTTATTGCTTGTCTTTCCACAAGGTTGGATGGGAGCGTTGCTGAGTGCATCTTTATTTTTCTTTCCAGAGCGCAATATCCATTATAACATGTCTTCTTTTAACGAGTCCGTCGGTCTGGGCTACTTGAAGACACACGCAATTGAATTTGTGAAGTATCCTTATGTAGTGAATGGAATGAACGGCTGGTGCACTTTGGGTTTGGCAGGAGTCTCTAAAATAGATAAATGGCTAATAGATAATTGTGGGTGTAGAGCTAATAAAATAATATGTGTGAAAGACTACAGCAACTGTGAAAATCTGCCCAAATGTGAATTGTTTTTATAGTCTACACAGTGAACTCTGGTTTTTCTCCTCAGCATCATTCATAAATGTGAAATTTGCTCTCTTTTTTCTGTGTGTTTGTCATTATCGGTCTAGACCTTTGTTGTTTATTTATTACTTCTGGAATACTCTTTTTTCCCCCATTCTCCTTAATAAGTTACACAGTTATAACAAACGGCAAATGAGCCGCATTTACCCCAAGGGAGGCCGGGTCGATTCCAGTAATTACATGCCTCAGATTTTCTGGAATGCTGGTTGCCAGATGGTTTCACTGAACTATCAAACCCCAGGTAGGAACTGATGTCCAGTGACCTCAAATTCCAGGAGAACACTTTGACAGGATGGTGCCAACAGTAGCCATCCGTTGGCCGTGGGCATTTTTTTTAAAGGAAGCAGACATATGGCAAAACAATGTGATGTTGGATTTATGTAATGGTGAGACATGAAAAACCAAAAATAGAGCCATAAAAAGGGTGGAAGACAAAATATTTTGATTTAAATTGAATTTCCTCTCATAAATACCACAACTAATCTGCCAAACATTGTCCCCTTTTCCAAAATATTTCTAATTTTTCTTCTTTTTGGATCAAACTTATCTTTGTTTCCAGAGACGGAATTAAATGAGAAAAAATTTTAATATCTCTGTACAGTAACTATGACTCATTTCTCCTTTAGAGAGTACCCTTCCCCTGTTAACATTCAGTGGGCATCAGTAACACAGCACCTCATCATAAAAGTACGGAATATTCTAGAGTAGACTCCACTAAAACGGTATGTAAGGATTTATATATTCTTAGAGGCACTAATCCATAACTTGGTCCTCCAAAGTTATTCAAAGGCAGGCTTCCAATATATGATCTTTTCCCCTCCCTGGAAGGAGAGGAGTAAATTTTTAAAATGCATAAACAATTTCATTTTTAAGTTTTTAAAGTCTGTTTAAGAGCCGAGGATCACAATTTTAAGATTAGAGGTAGAAAAATACTGGGCTCTAGTTATTTACCTAAAAGAGGTAAGAAATATGCCACAAAACCAATTCATGTGCTGTGATTAATTCCATAGCCTGGTCCTTAAAATTGGCAAAACAAAGCAAAACAAAAACCTTTTCTTGTTCAGTCCTTTGCTATATGAGGGGTGCCTCCCGTGTTTCCTGATTTGGGAGGGCATTTTCCTTTTCTAGTCCATCCACCATACTTTGAGAGTTTCCATCCACCTTGTTCCCTATTATCTGGACTGACTGAAAGGTCTTTTGACTTCCATCCCTTTGCCATGAATATGGGCTTGACTGTACTTCCCTCCCCTTGGTGGCTCCTTCTCAGGGACCAGAAGCTGGAGTCAAATGTCTGCACAGCATCCACATCAGTCCTTGCTATACTGAACTATGGCCAGATATCAGTACAATCCCATAGTATTTCTAGCAGAAACCAAATAAAAGGGTACTGCTGATTTTACTTTAAAAAAAAAGGGAGGGATGGGAGGTCAAGTTGTATTTTCAGTTGTCCATCCATTATATGGATTAAATGATCCTAAACCAGTTTATTCACTAGGTCAGCTTATGTTTTATTCTATAACATTAGGATCAACCACAACATGTTGAAGAAGGAAAAAAAAAAAAATCTACCAGCTTGTTCTTTTTTTTTTTTTTCCTTTTCCTAATGAAAAAAGAGAAGATTGTATCCACTTGGGAGAGAAAAATCATAAACCATGCCCTGCCAGTGTAGACCTCCCTAGAAGAATACTCCCTAAGTCTAAAAGTAGGAACAAGCCACTAATTTTTCCATGATACTACCTAGTTTATTTTTTATTGTTTTTAATCAAGTTTGTACTCCTGTGACCATACTGGATATCCCCAGCCTACCCTTCCTCTGTGAACATAAGGCTCGTTCTCCCCAGTTGGACATCTATACTCTCAACACTAATTGAACAATCATTTGACTCATATGTTGAATCCAATTTTTAAAGCAATTCTAGCATGATCTTTATGAAAACACATTTATGTTTGACTTCAGCACGAGATGATTTCAACAGGGAAGAGAGTTATGTGCTCTCAACAGACCCCGTTAAAAAGGACCTTTCAGCCTAGGATCAGTATCTGATTTCCATTGTTTAAAATCACCCACAGTGGTCTTCCTTGTCCAGGGAGATGAGATGCTAAATTATTTTTGTCTCTTGACAGATTTAGCGATGCAATTGAATCAGGGAAAATTTGAGTATAATGGATCATGCGGGTGAGTAATATGATTTAAACTGTTGTCACTGTGTTCCTGAACTCCATACTACAGCTATAATGAAACTGTGTCATTTTTAATTAGGGGCTGCTCAATTTAAGCTGAGTTTGAGGGATGGGAGAAGAAACAATTGAAATCCCTAAATAGATTATATTTGCAAGTATACATTCTTCATCTACCCGGTTTGCTAAGCAGAATTTTCCAAAAAAAAAATTTGACTATAAGTTAAGCAGTTTATCATACACACTCTAGAGTTTAATTCTCTTGCTTTAAATTCAAGGGTTTTTATAGCTAAGACAGATAACGATCCCTGATCATTTGGACATTAACTGGAAACATAGATAATAAATATATGTATTTTGCCTAAGACGAATAGAGGAATGAAGTTGATTTAGTATGTAATGAAGTTATGGGGGTCAATTTGAATGTAATACACCTAGGAAGAAAGCTTTGTCCTGTCATGATTCTTTTGCGTGTCTTGTAAATAGCAGTTATCAAAAAATAATGCTATGAATATTGTTCTAGTTTACTTAACTGGCATTCTTTAAAATCTGTGAACGAGGGAGTGAAATAGGAAATGTTAATTTCCTAATTTCATAATGTGGAACTTGGAAAGGTTAAATGAAAATGTGACATTAAATTCTGTAGAGGAAAAACCGGTGTGGCCATTTTTTTCTCCATGCGTCTGTCTCCAAGCCTCTAAATTAATCCACTGGAGTGCCATCCCATCCATAATACTACTGTCAGGAAATTCTTGGCCTCCCTGGTTGAATACCTCATTTTTATCACTAAAAACAGCCAGTCAAAATAACATTTTTCAGCAGTCGTGGGTTCGGAGTGCACACTCACCCCCCTTCCTCCTGCCGGATGGTTCTCTGCCCAAGCACCTCCACCCATGAGTGACCCACCACACACATAGCTGGCACATATGTTATGTTTTCCTCTGCTGTGTGCTTTGAAAGAAATTAAAATCATACACCGTAAGCTAATATGTTATATGTCACTTACAGAAAGAAGTAAAAACTACGTAGTTCAAAAGAAAACCGCTAAATACACATTTTAGAATTTTTAAAAAGATTTTATTCGAGAGAGAGAGATTGAGAGAGAGCGAGCATGCAAGCAGAGAGGAGGGGCAGAGGGAGAAGCGGACTCCCCGCTGAGCAGGGAGCCCCATGTGGGACCCTGGGATCATGACCTGAGCTGAAGGCAGACGCTCAGCCGACTGAGCCACCCAGGCATGCCCACGTTTTAGAATTTTTTAAAGCTCTGTTGTTTAATGCACAGTGTTCATCACCAGGAGATGGTGCACATAAATTGATGGATGGGCCCCCCAGGCAAGCTGAGGCAGCAAGGCTGCAGGGGACAGCAGTGGTGTGGGGATGAAAGCTCAAGGCTGAAGCCCAGCCTCCATGGTTCATACCAGACACACCAGGCGGGGCTCCCTCCTCAGAGCCTTCTGTGTGGCCCAGTGACACTAAAGTTTGCCTTCTCTGCCTCAGCTGTCCTACAGCCAGTACTTCCACAGGGAGGGGAACTGTTTCCAGATCAAGAGGTCCCAACAGGAGTTGTATGCGTGCACTCCATTTCTTTGCAGGACTTTCTCTTACGCCCTGGTTCACGTGATCAGTGTCTCGCTTTATGCACCATTGCTTATTTTAAAATACGTTCCCAGACAAGGACAGCGCTACCAGAGCATGAATTCCATGCTGAAGTGTTTGAGTGGTGTGACCGAAAACCTAAGTCCTGCCAGAGGGGCTAGAAAAATAGGATGGTTCAGTGGGGCAGCCCGCCTTGAAGAGGCATTGACAGTCGTGTTCAGTCGTGGGTCACCATCCCCCCACCCTTCCCTTCTCCTCTCCTGGAGGCAAAGTTCCTTGCCGACAGGAAGAGGGAAGAAATCTTCCTCAGTTGTGTTTCTCTGCTCCCATCACTCTCCACGATGGAGTGGTCATAGCTGGTAGATACAGGGCTGGCCACGCAGGTGCATTTCCGTGGAGCAAGGGCATCTAGGACGCTCTGACTTTCACAGCATGGCCCTTGTCGTTCACCCACCCAGCTTCAGGGACTTGTTAAAAGCTCCTTGTTGGCGTGTCTGAGGGCTGGGCATCTGTAAAGAGGCCTTCTGTACCTTTTAGGCTTAGGGTGGCAAATGGTAGCTGTTGTATAGAGAACATCAGCGTTGCAAAGCACATGGACACCCTCTGCACACGCATCAGTGCTAGTAAAACATTGGGAACCTACCTGGGAATCCCTGTCTGCTCTCTGGGCTGATCTTTTGGGAGGCCGTGCCACTGGGCTCAGTAAGTGTGGTTTTTAGTAGGAAAGTGAGCAGTAGTTTATGGCAGACTCCTTTGTAATGGTATAAAAATGGGAGGCATTTCTGTAATTCCTAATGAAACAAGATAGAGCAAGTTAATTTCTCAAGTCTGCATACTTTCAGAGGAAATTGGGGTGGCTGATATCAACATAGTGGGATGTTTTATGATTCAAAGATGCACACTTTTTGTAGAAATTGCTCAGGTTGCAATGTGTCTTGAAATCTATGACCTTATAGTTTTAATCAGCCATTTTGCTTTCCTGCTGGTAAAGAAGATAATGGAGTGTCGAACAATTAATGCCATCTTGGGTGTGATGAAATAGGTTGTCCTTCCTATTATGACCTCATCCACTGATTCTTATGGCTCCTGTCCACCCACCTAGCTGAAGGCCCTTCTTCTCTTCCTCTCTTGCCTTCCGAGATCCTACAAAGCCACAGAAAATCCTTGGATCCCTTCACTTGTCATTGACTTTGGACTCTGCCCACGTCCACCACACAGACCTGGATGCTGGGAATGCTTTTATTTTCTGTACAAAAAAAACACCAGGCAGGACCAGCTACATAGTTTGCAGGGCCCAGTGCAAAATGAAAATGAAGGCCTCCTTGTTCACAAATTTTTAAGCATTTTGAGACAGTGGCTGCAGAGCATTAAACCTGAAGGCTGCCTGCTTTGGGAACTGGACTCCGGTTTCTTGCCCCTTCCCCCTGGTACTTCTTATTTTGGATCTGTTCACTCTCTCAAAGATAAGTTTTCTTCTAAGCTGATATGGAAGGAGGGAACATGGAAGAATGTTTTTGGCACCAGGAAATCTTCAGTATCACAATTTTGTATTTTTGATGAGAAGGGTCCCTTCAGAAATGGCTGCCAGGAATGGAGAGTCCGAATCTCCAGACAGCCCCTGCCCCTGCTGCTCTCAGGAGGCAGGATCCCTCATTCCACATGACTGGAACCCAAATGCTCCCTATTTGTGACAGCCAGAACCATCATCCATTACCTCCGCTTGGAGCTAACGTCCCATACTTTGCCAATGCTGGTAGACTTCACTTGAAGTAGTGTGTGTAATATTGTAGTTTCTCATCTACTTTCCATCCTAAGGCTTCAATTTTTGCTATATCATCCTATTTTCCAGTGGCTAACACTAGCCACAAAAAAGGCCCAAATCTCTGTAAATATAGGAAACCATCTCTTTTGTGCAGTTAGGGAGATTTTAAATTATTATTTAGGGTTGCATTCTCTTGGAGACAGGTGAAATTTCAAAATCATCTTTAGTCTTTGAATGATTCTGAAAACTCTATATCCTTGATTTAAAAATCAGTGTTTTCCCTTGGAGCTTCTTTACTGATGATTACATCTAAGTTGAATGTGGGGTTATTTTCTTTAACACTTTTTTTGTTCAAACTTAGAAGATAGCAACAAATGACAACTTTGTCAAAACCACAAAAATGTGACTTGGAATTTTTCTTTAAGGAGAAAAGTCATGCCCCAGAATCCTTTCTGGTTGGATTTTAAAAGATAATAAATTTTGGCATCATCTAGAGCTAAAGTCAGTAAAAGTTTATGCTCCTAAATAATAGGAAAGACTTACTTGATCCCTCTAATTTTGATTCTTTTACACTTAAAAGTAAACCCTGAGTTTTGGGGAAAGTGCTTTTATTGTCCCCTATCTGCTGCTCATATTAGTATGGAATTTTTCTATTTGTGGTTATAGTCCTTTGTAACAAAAAAATTCTTAGATGAAGTTGTCTGATACAAGTTCAGGGCGGTTATGGAATCTGGCTGAGGTCTGATTATGTGACTATAACCAAAGGGCATAAGGGGCAGACATTGTGTAGTTGGGTCAATTTCAAAACATTTTCCTTACCTCAAATAGAAGACTCATAACCCTTTAGCTATCACCTCCCAGTATCCCTGCTCCCTGTTCACAGCCGTAAGCAACCACCATCTATTCTTTGTCTCTCCATATTTGTATATACCGCATTTTATAGAAATGGATTCATGTAGTATGTGGTCTTTTGTGACTGGCTTCTTTCACTTAGCATTATGCTTTCAAGATTTATGTTGTAGCACATATCAGTACTTCATTTATTTCTATTGAGTAATTTCCCATTGTATGGGTATGCCACATATTATATATCCATTCATCTGTTGATAGGCATTTGGATTGTTTCCATCTTTTGGTTATTATGAATAATGCCACTCTAACATTCACATGTAAGTTTTTGTGTAGGTATATTTTCATTTTTCTTGGGTATATACTAAGAGTGGAATTGCTGGGTCACATAACAACTCTGTTTAACTGTTTGAGGAACTGTCAGACTGTCTTCCAGTGCACTGTGTCATTTCACATTCCCACCAACAATGTATGAGGGTTCCAATTTTCCTACATCCTTGTCAACCCTTACTGTTTTCCGACTTTTTTACTATAGCCATCCTAATGTGTGTGTAGTGACATCTCACTGTGATTTGGATTTGCATTTCTCTGATAACTAATGATACCAAGCATCTTTTCATGTCCTTATTGGCCATTTGTTTCTCTTATTTGGAGAAACGTGTATTTGGATCACTTGCCCATTTTTTAACTGGGTTGTTTGTTTTTGACATAGTGTAGACACAAACCTCTTATCACATAGTATATGATTTGCAAATATTTTCTCCCATTCTGTGGCTTGTGTTTTCACTGTCTTAATAGTATGTATTGAAGTGCAAAAGTTTTTATGATAAGGCCAGCTTTATCTTTTTTTTTCCTCTTGTTGCTTATGCTTTTGATGTTATGTCTGAGACCCATTACCAAGTCATGAAGATTTATCCTTTTTCTTCTAAGAATTTAATCATTTTGGCTCTTAATTTAAGTCTTTGGTCCATCTTGAGTTAATGTTTGTATATGAAGTGAGGGAGGGGACCAATTTTCTTCTTTTGCATGTGGCCATTACAGTTGTCCTAGCAACATTTGTTTAAAAGAATATTCTTTCCCTCTTTGAATAATCTTGGCATCCTTGTCAAAAACCAACTGAGCATAGATACATGAATTTATTTCTGGACTCCCAGTTGCTTTGTAGAAGTTTTGAAATTGAGAGTTATAAGACCTTCAACTTTGTTTTTCTTGTTCAAGGGTGTTTTGGCTATTCTTGGTCCTTGAGTTTTAGGATCAGCTTGTCCATTTCTAAAGAAGCCAGTTGGGCTCTGGATAGGGATTGAATCTGTATATCAGTTTGGTGAATAGTGCCATCTTAACCATATTAAGTCTTCTGATCCATGAACACAAGATGTCTTTCCATGTACTTAGATAGTCTTTAATATTTTTCAACAGTGTCTTGTAGCTTTCAAAGTACATGCACTTATTTCGTTAAATATATTCCTAAGTATTTTATTCTTTTTGGTGCTATGGTAAATGGAATCTTCTTAATTTCATTTCTGGATTGTTCATTGCTGGTATTTAGAAATACAGTTGATTTTTGTATATTGATTTTGTATCCTGCAGCCTTGCTGAATTCATTTATTATTTCTGATCAGTTTTTTTAAAAGATTTATTCTTTAGATTTTAGAAGGATTTTAGAAAGAGAGCATGAGTGGGGGGAGGGGCAGAGAGAGAGAGTCTTCAAGCAGACTCCCCACTGAGCGTGGAGCCCAGTGTGAGTTCAATCTCATGACCCGTAAGATCATGACCTGAGCCAAAACCAAGAGTCGGACACTCAGCCGACTGAGCCACCCAGGCTCCCCTCTGATCATTTTTCAGTAGACTCCTTAGGTAGATTCCTTAAGTAGATTGTATATACAAGATCATGTCATCTCTGAAGAGAAGTTTTACTTCTTTCTTTCCATCTAAATACCTTTTATTTCATTTTCTTACCTGATTACGCTGGCTAGAAATAGAGAAATAATTACATCTTTAAGTTCACCTCCCTCTAACTGATATTTCATGGTTCTTTTGACTGTGAACATAGACAACAATCCACAGTAATAGTAACAGTACCTGTGACTCTGACACCAATGTAAATCACAGATATTTTCATATCATTATTACTGTTATAGATCTCACAAAATATTTTTATGCATATCAGTACTTTGAAATTATAGTTATCAACTTGGCATCATATCTCATAATTCAATGCAGTAATTAAAACACAATAAAGTAGAATATCATGTGTTCTCCATATTTTAACAACTAGAGCTCATGTAATTGGTTTTTCATTGTTATTCTTTGTATTTTATTTTGTGCATATCCGAGTAAGTATCTAAAGAGGTCCATGGCATAAAAAAGTTCAAGAGAATATAATAGTATCAGGAAGCTCTAGATGTCACTGAGCCTGGAATCCTAAAAACATTCCTTCTTTCCTGCTTCTCTTCAAGATTATCCATAGGAAAGAAATAGTTTCTTCAATCCTTAGAATCCTCTTCCTAAAAGCCTAGCTCCTAAATTAGAGATGGGGAAAAGGAAGTACTTAGTGTCCTGAAGCATGAGTGTTTTAGTCATTATAAACACAGCTAATAAACTCTTTCTATGCTTTTGTCCCACCAGATACCTCCTCAAACCAGATTTCATGAGACGGCCCGATCGAACATTCGATCCCTTCTCTGAAACTCCTGTCGATGGGGTTATTGCAGCCACTTGCTCAGTGCAGGTAAGTCCCCTGCTTGTCACAGAATTGTAAAAATGTGTGTGCAGATGGTCCTGGCGAAGCCTTAAGAAATCACGTTAAAATATTTAATGTCAGGTTATAAGATCCATGTGTTACTCTCAACTTTGTGATTCCCCCTTTTTTTCTTAAGAGATACATTTTATTCACTAGTGGTACATAGTTTTATCCACTAATAATAAATAGCTAATAGTTTTATTAGCTACTTTTAGCAAAAGACACCAGATCAAAAAAGTACTTGGAGCAATAGGAACTCTCATTCATTGCTGGTGGGAATGGAAAATGGTGCAGCCCCTTCGGAAGCATGCTCTTACCCTGTAATTCAGCAGTCATGCTCCTTGGTATTTACCCAAATGAATAGAAAACTTACATTCACACAAAAACCTACACAGAGATGTTCGTAGCAGCTTTATTCGTAATTGCCAAAAATTGTACAACCAAGATGTCCTCCATTAGGTGACTGGATACATTAACTGTGGCACATCCAGAAAGTGGGATATTATTCAGTGCTGACAAGAAATGAGCTAGCAAGTCATGAAAACGCATAGAGGAAACTTACATGCATATTACTAAGTGAAAAAAGCAAATGAAAAGACTATGTATTGTATGGTTCCAACTACATGACATTCTGGAAAAGTGAAAACTATGACAGTTTCACAGATGTGCACGTATGTCAAAACTGACCTTATGTACACTCTAAAACGTACAGTTTATTGTATGTCAAATTTTATCTCAAAAAACTTTCAAAAGTATGATCTATTCAATAATACAGAAAAAAAAAAAAACCCTGCAAAATGGCTATAGTCCTTTGGAAAGTACATGAAAAATAGTCTGTCCATGGCTTTATAATAGATGGAATTTAATGGTCTTTACAAATATATACCACCGCGTTGTCAATATTGGTAAAGGATAACAGGCAACAGGCAATTTTTAGCATTACTTTTTTCTTCAGTGAGTCTCTTCCCAAGACTTATAAAAGAATTCAGTAAAGTATGGGAGGGCAGAATTTCAGAGCTCTGATGGGATCTTAGGACATATTTGAACCCATCACTTTGTTTCATAGATCTGGGCACTGAGGTGGAATTAAGCTGCTGTGGACATTATTTCTTTGTATTATAGGATTCATCATTTTTTTTTCTTCTTTCTTTTTATAGACAGTTCTCAACATCAGAACCTCTGTCTTGAGCAGTTTGGGGTTTTTTTTTGCATAGGGTAGTTGTTCAATAATGTTTTACTTTAGTAAGGAATGAATAAATTATTTCCATAGGTAATTAAAATTTCTAAAGATGAACAGAAGATTTTCTTACTTCTGAATGAAGGGGGGGAAATCGGAGGGGGAGACGAACCATGAGAGACTACAGACTCTGAGAAACAAACTGAGGGTTCTAGAGGGAAGGGGGTTAGGGGAATGGGTTAGCCTGGTGATGGGTATTAAGGAGGGCACGTACTGCATGGAGCACTGGGTGTTATACACAAACAATGAATCATGGAACACTACATCAAAAACTAATGATGTAATGTATGGTGATTAACATAACATAATAAAAAAAAGATTTCTTACTTCTGGATTATTCATTGCTCTTGATAACTACACAGACATGACTTCTCTCTCACCCTGTTTCTGTGTTGCTGCAGGTCATATCAGGTCAGTTTTTATCAGATAAGAAAATTGGTACATACGTAGAAGTGGATATGTATGGGTTGCCCACCGACACCATACGTAAGGAATTCCGAACTCGCATGGTGATGAACAACGGACTCAATCCAGTTTACAATGAAGAATCATTTGTTTTTCGGAAGGTAGGGCACTTTCAACGTGTGCTAACTTAGGGGCTACACTTTAGTGCATAAACTACATAGACCCTACATGATATAGGGGCAGTTATGCAACCCCAAATATCTTCTTTTTCTCTTCTTCCAATGGAAAGTTCTATAGATATCATATGATTGTTACTTCTGTCTGTTTTGGTCCTTTTGATTCTCCTTTCCTCTTCCAAGGAGCCCACCTTGTGTGTGGCAATGCTCAAGTTCCAGGTGGGCAATCTCCTTAGAATGTGTCCTCACTGGTGGACATCCTCATACACTGGAGAGTTCTTTTCTGCCTTGGCAGCAGGTGGTAACTTGCAATGCTCCCCTAGCCAAGAGATCAGGTAGGATGGTGCACCCAAAACTAAGGCCAGTGTATGTCCTTAAATAGGTCAGTTTGGATTGTCCTGTGCCTCTAGAAAGTGTGGTACCTGTTGCCACCCCCACAGTCTGTGCTTCATGTGCTATTTTGGGTTTTGGGGGGGTTCCTACTATTGTACCTTGATCCCCAGACCAATCACAGTCATACTCTAACGATTCAGTGTTTAATCTTGTAATCATTTTTTCCCTTTCTCTTTTGTCAGTGTAAGATGTATTGAAAAATCCATGCATTGGTAGTGCTGTATCTAAGAAGAGCTGTTTTTTCTCTCTCCCTTGCTCTGTTATCCGAACCAGAACAGCTTCTTGCTGCTGCTTTAAGCACCGGGTTTCTGGTGTTTCTGCTCCATGTATATGTCCTGCAACACAGATCATTGACTTCTTAACAAAAATGAGGATTAGCAGTTTCAGAATAGGCTAACTGATTTACAGAAACCAGATTACAGAAGATCTGTAGTTCAATGAAACGAGCCATTGTGAGATTCAGGCTCTCCCTGTTATGTGAACACCATTATTTCCATGCAACCCCCACTGTGACTTTTTCTCCTACAGAGTGTGGTGTAAATTGCATACATAGCTGTCATGGGCCTTTTTTCTTCCCCCAGGTTTTTTATAGTTTGTTATAACTGGATCTGTTGTCAGTGTGGCCAGTGGTTCTTGGCAGAACGAATAATCCCTAGACATATTTCTAAAAATTCAGAAAGTTGACTTCAGATCTTCTTTGTTTTTTGATGAGTAAGGAGACATCAAAGTTGGTTTTTACATATAGTATTACTGGCCCCAGAAACAAGATGCCAGTTCTGCATCCTTCAGTGTTCTTCGGAAGTTAAATTGCTTTTCATTGGTACCAAGTACTTTCACTTTTTATTCTCTCTTGTTTTTAATATTTTTGTTCTTTGCACTAATTCACAAGGCAAGCCCTCTTTTACCACATGAGAAACAATAGAGTAAATGAAATTGGATGAATTTTAACTTGATTTCTCCTCTTCATCGTCACAAAATTGGATTAAATTATAATCTCTAAACATAGCTAGGCAACCGATCCATTGTCTAGCCTTAGATACAGTACTCAAATTAGCCAAGATGTCTTGGTTGTTCTTAGCCAATGAGAAGTCATTTCTGATTTAAAACATTGGATTTTCTTGTGTCCTGTTGCTATTTTATATCTGAATTAGGATTCTGCTGCCTGAGCTCAGATTTTATGTCCATTTATTCCTTTTGAAGATGGCAAGGGTAGATGTCTTGGGTATAAGTTAATGTTTCTAGCTGCCCCATCTCACTGTATTTAATATTCCAAAAATAGATTAAAAACTGAGGAGTGCAAGAAAAAGAGAATCCAAATTTCTATATACATTTTCCTTTATACACAAAGTATCTTCAAAGATACTTTCCATATTCTTAAAAACAGGCCGAGCTAGATATCAGAAGCAGCCCAGGTAGGAGGCAGACCACAGGATTCAAAGGCAAGAGCCCCGATTCCAGGCCCAGCTGTCCCGATCTCAGAGACTAAGGAAAGTCACTTGATCTCTTGGGGTCTCCTTTTGTTTGTCCATTATATGCATGGGGATGGGCAGAGATGACAAGGGTTGGACCAGTAATCTTTCACATCCCTTTCATCTAAAATTTTCAAGGAGATGATTTCCAGGAAGCCTATTCGATTGCTTTCTCAATGGCTTGAACACTGCAGCTTGGACAGTATACTTTAGGAATGCAAATCGATCATGGGCCACTTTCACCATAAAGGCACATTGAAGAACGGTGTGGATGTGGTTCAGATTCCCAGAATCAGGGCTCTTGGGAGCTGCTTTCCAAAATACCCATGAAAGGTACCGTTCTTTGTTTGCAGGTAATCCTCCCTGACCTGGCAGTCTTGAGAATAGCAGTGTATGATGACAACAACAGGCTGATAGGCCAGAGGATTCTCCCGCTGGATGGCCTCCAAGCAGGCTATCGACACATTTCCCTTCGAAATGAGGGAAATAAACCATTATCACTGCCAACAATTTTCTGCAATATTGTTCTTAAAACATATGTGCCTGATGGATTTGGAGGTAAGTTAAACATCTGAGTACAAAAGTCCTAAATTATAGGATTATAAAATATTTCACCAATGGTTAAAAAAAAAAGTCTATTCCTACCAGCGCTGCCAATCCTTGTAGCCTTGAAGAAATCAAGGATAGATAGTAACTTCAGATTTCCTAGGAAGAAATGAAAGGGCAAGACTGGATTATCTTTAAGGTTCTTTCTTCTTTTAAAATACTGTAATTTTATATGGTTTATCAATGTTTACAAATATGTTTGTGAAGGATTTCCTTACACCGTCATCCAAAGGGAGAAAAGACGTAAGTAAAATGGAACCCATAGATATCATTTGGTATCCCTAAAAATTTTAAATTGAACTCAGACATCAACACGGCTGGATTTTCTTCCAAATCCACTAGCGAGTTCAATTTCACAAAAAAGTCCCAGTCATCCATCCACAGAAGACTCCCTTTGGTTTTACTAAGGTAATCGATGGGAGAAATCAAAACCTGGACCAAGTCATAGGATTTTGCTTATACCCAAACATATTAACTTTTTATAACCATCAGTTAAGCCAAGAACATTAAAAGAAGATTAAGATCTTCTGTATTCTCAGTCTGTTGAACCCTAAGGAAACCGAGTGATTATGTCAAATTAACCAAGGATGCAAATTCTAACTCTCTACTCCTGCCTGGGTGACCTCGGGACAGTGACAACCTCTCACACCTTCATTCCCAGGCCTAAAAAGTGAAGATGTTCCTAGTACCTCCCTCATAGCATTCTTGTGAAGTACTCATCATTACAGTATATGACATAGCAAGGCTCAGAAATGCGTGCACACAAGTATGTGTACTATCGATACAGATATAATTTCTGTAGCATGCTGGGACACATCACAGTTTTGTTTGGGGAATTTGGGGTTATTTTGTGTGTGGTTTTTTTGTTTTTGTTTTTGTTTTTTTTAATAATGCTTGCATCTCTGGAGGGCAGATGTTCTCTGATCCTCAGCTTTAACAACCCGATTGCAGATTCAAGAAGAGATGTGAACCATGAGGGTTTTTTCAGTTACCAAATCCAGAATAAAGACTCCTTTCTCCTCCTCTTCTTCTGCTTTTCATTTAAAAAGAAAGCCTATATTAGAAGCCAGAACAGACTGTAGCTGATATAAAAGCATAAAAAAGAGGCTGGTGGGATGCTGTGGGGCTGGTTAAGTGGATAAGAATAGTGACAGGAAAAGCCTACAGTATGTCTTTAGGAGCATCAGCAGATGAATTACACCATGTTCCACATACTTGAGCTTAGAAAGTAGGCAGTGTGTGGTTGTATAAACAATTACGGTGGAAGACTTACAGGTTTTCCCTCTGCATGGGTTACTTTTCAGTATGGAACTCTCTAATTCATTCCAGGGAAGTGGGCAGTTGGAATAGAAAAGGGAAAGAAATAATTTGTCCAGTTCCTACTTTGTGTCAAGCACTCTCCGTAGAGTCTGAAAGTTGTGGAGAAGGACTATGCATGTATGTAGGTCTGTGTTGAAGAAATATCTGTATTTATAGTGCAGCCCATTCCCAGTGTCAGTATTTGTGCATGTACTGATTCAGATTAATCTCTTTAAAAATAGTCTCGCATATTTTTTTCCCTGACATGTCACCGTAGTCACTTACTTCTTATCAGAAGCCTTTAAAATTTCTGTACTATGTTATCATGGGTGGGACTCCACAGTTTACATCTTAACCTCCACTTGACATTCCAAAACTGTATATTCAGAATTTTCAGTCATTTCTTTTATGTGTGAGGAAACCAAGGGCAGACACCATGAGCATTTACTTAAGGGACTTACCTGAGGAGAACAACATAAGAATATGAGAACTGTCTTTTTCTCACTTTCCGATTTTCTTTACAGCCTCTTGACTTACACAGTGTGTTGTTCTTATTTCATCTGCGTAACTAACCTCCCACATTCAGCTCTGAACATTTATGTGCTGAGCCCGCAGAGTAGGAAATCTACAGTGTCCCTGTTCCCTAGAACATAGATAGTCTATATTGATTCCATAGGAAAAAGTTCAAAATGAAACTCTGCAGCCTTGCACGCCAGCATTTTCTAGGGGGGAAAAAAAAGTAAATTGTTGATATAGATCTCAGATTTTTATATGGCCAAAGAAAGATAATATGGATTTATTTATTCCACAAATATGTTTGGTAGGTTTTATTCTGTAAAAGGCAAAATAGGGGCATCTGTGTGGCTCAGTTGGTTAAGCATCCAAATCTTGGTTTAGGCTCAGGTCATCATCTCAAGGTCATGAGATGGAGCCCCAAGTTGGGCTCCACGCTCAGCATGGAGTCTGCTCGAGATTCTTTCTCCTCCCTCTCCCTCCCCCTCTGCTCCTCCCCCTGCTCATATGCCCATGCACTTCCTCTCTCAAAAAAATACATAAAATCTTTAATTTAAAAAAAGGCAAAATAGATAGTATATGTATCAGAAAGAGATTCCTCCAGCACAAAGAACAAAAGGGTCATCCATAAATCCACCACCCAGCGAGAGCTCTGTTGCTATGTTGGTCTCTTTACTTTCAATTTCATTTCTTCTATTTTAATTAAATAGATCTTACTGTACATAGTCATTTGGACTCATTACTTCAGAGTTAATTTTTTTCCCACTTAATAGACAATATTTTTCCATGTCATGAAATATTTTTATAGCTGCAATCCATTTTATGTATTATCCATACTTCAGTTATTGATAAACATGGAAGTCATTTCCATTTTTTTCTTATAAAAAATATTGTGCCTAGGAACCTTAAATGTAAAGCTTTGGAAATACTCGTGATCACTTCCTGAAGATGAATTCTTTGAAGTGGAAAGAGTTGTATGTATATTTAAAGTTTTAGATACAGATTGCCAAATAACCCATCAGCAGTCTATGAGATATAACTTTTGTTAACATTTACTAATTTAATCAGTAAAAACAGTTTCTTAGTGTATTCATTTAAAATATTTTTCTCAAAGGAAAAGATGTAGTCATTACTATTTAGTACTTACTCTATGGGTAAGAGATACAAAGTTGTAAAAATCATCTACACTTATCCTCAAGAATTTTCCAACCTTGTACACACATACATGTGCATATACATAAATAAGTGTAATTTATTATATCACTGCCTACAGGGTAGTAAGTCAGGGGGTGTTAGGAGCATTGAACTAAGAAGTGATTAATCAGGGTGGGGTTGAGGGGTCCTTCAGTGGCTGTTGGGACCTTGAAAGATGAAGTCCCTCAGGGCAGAGAGGTAAACTGATTTTCTCTCCTGAAAGGGAAGCAGCCCAGGCCAAGGCCTTGATAAGAAGAGTGCTGGACTTATTTGCATATTCTGAGGAAGCTGAAACGCAGGGTATATGGGGCTAAAACTGAAAAGTTCTGGTCCATGTTTGACGATGTGTCCTGAAAAGCTGGTGTTATTTAGCAAGAGGAGTATGCTCTTCTTGTTGAATAATTTTGGCACCTCAGGGAAATACTCACATTTTCAGGACACTAAGTAATTTGGTGAATTATATTTTCTTAGCTTTTAGGTGGGTCAGTTTGTCCAAAATCACTTCACAAGTTTATAGAAGTAAGACCTCTTATGCCTGATGAAGCTAATGAAATCTCAACTTTTATAATTCACCAAATACTTAAACTAGGAATTATGTATTTCTTTAATCAGATAGCTAAAAGCAAACAAATTTTTTTAAAGCCATGCTGTAATTTCTTGCAGCATTATTTGTATAGAAAAGATCAGAAACAACCTAAATTCCATCAGTAGAGACTGATAAAATATGGAAGGCCATTCTGTAGGAGACCATGTATTTATTAAAAATAATGACTTGGATCTCAGTGTTCAGAACAGAAAGATGACAGTGATTTATTACTAAGAGAAAAAGTAAATTGCAAAATGACCCCATAATTACTTACAAAGACCCTTAGCTATCTGTTTATACATACAAGATAGAAAAAATTCTGGTAGGCTATACACCCAAGTTTAAGAGTAGTTATCTATTTGAGAGTGGGGGTGAGGGTTTAGTGGAGCTGGCCCACTGCATTGGACAGCTTCTGGGAACATCACAGAGAACACACTATCCCATATGGCAGGACTCTACTTATTACTTCTGGATCATTTAAGTAAGCATATGTAACCTCTGTAAATTTTTAAAAATTGTATTTTGCCCTATTTTTCTATAACAGCAGTGTAATATGAAAATAGCACAAAGAATGTAATATATATGTGTGTGTGTGTATATATATACATATATATAGAATTTAGAAAAAAATAAAATTAAAGCAACCTATTATCCTGCTACCTAGATAGTTCTTGATAATATTTTTTAAAATATTTTATTTATTTGTCAGAGAAAGAGAGCATAAGAAGGGGGAGTGGCAGGCAGAGGGAGAAGCAGACTCCTTGCTGAACAAGGAGCCTGATGTGGGACTTGATCCCAGGACCTTGGGATCATTCCCTGAGCTGAAGGCATACGCTTAATCAGTGCCCCCATTGATATCATTTTTAAATAAAAGAAAGACATGAGTGTCTTAAAACATCATAAGGTTATAAAACATAAAGCCTATCTGTGCATATGTAATAAATACATATATGCATAAATGTACAGTCTATGTGTATATGGGTATGTATCACACACATATATTTCCTTTTTAATTAAACCCCAAAAGATAATATAATACCCCCTGTTCTATGCTTTGCTTTGTTTACATAATATATGTTGGAGAACATTCCTGCCAATGCAAATAAGACTGAAATTATTTTTAAAGGTTATATACTAATATACTATTCCATTATATGTATATACCACTATCTCTTTATGCAGCCCTTTGGTTGGATCAGTGTGTACTCCCACCCATTATCTTTTTCTTTTTTTTAAGATTTTATTTATTTATTTGAGAGAGAGAGAGAGAGCACATGAGAGGGGGGAGGGTCAGAGGGAGAAGCAGACTCCCCGCCAAGCAGGGAGCCCGATGTGGGACTCGATCCAGGGACTCCAGGAT